GTGTGTCTTCCGACATCCGTGCGATACATCACGTCCACGGAGAAAAGGCACTCCACTGGCACTGTGAGGTTGACCAGTATCCGGATGACACTCTCTAGGACAGCATCGTCCTTGGCATTCTCCAGCAGGGGTATCAAATCGGATCTTACATTTTGGCCAAAACCAATGGCACGCCGAAAGGTGCGAAGTGTTTGATCCTCGTACGTTAATTTGTAATTTATTTCCTCCAGAATGGCTATAAATATTAAGATAATTATTATTTATTTAATAAGTTTATGAATTTAAATACCCACCCAATGCATTTGGGTTAACCACATAGGTGTCACCCTCCAGGTATCCCAATGAGGAGAAGGCGCTGTGCAACTGAGGAGTTGCAAGTAACCAGTCCATAACAGATTTTATTTTATAAAGTTTGTATTATTCCAGATGTGATGTTTGAGCTGCCTCTCAGTGCTCATTGTTGGTTAAAACATGCAAGCTTTAAATTTAGGTTTATTTTAAAGCTGAAAATAAAAAATAGTTTATGAAATGGCGTTGTAGTTACTGAGAAACATATCCCTCTTAGATAACTGAATTAATTCGCGCACCTAAAATAGCCCCCGGGCCTTATACAACCCCTATCGTAGGAGCTACATTCCCACGCATTCTATAAATACCCATTTGGAAACCAAATCGTAGTGCATGTGACTGTCAAGGGCTCTCTGGCAGTGTGCAATGTGCATTTGAAATGAAATCCGAATCAACTCCTATCAAAGCCCAGAACAAATATCCAACCACTCACACACGTGCCCGGAGAGCGTGTTTCCCACCAATTACCCCCCGGGGCAGACGTTGCCAAAATCTATGCCATCTGCGTTTGAACACACCCCCGGCAAAAAATGTAAAAAAAAAGTAAAAGCCCCGAAATTCCCAGAAATTCAAAAGGAATGCTGCTTAAGGGTATGGGAAAATGATGGAAAACCCAACCTTCAGCTATCAAGTAACCAGGCAGAAAAGCTTCAAGCGGGAACTGAGGCGGCACCCGGTGGCTGCATGTGACTCACTTGCAGACATCAACATCGAGCTGATTGTGTAAACGGAACAGTTGGAGGACAAAGGAATCTGCTGGAACCCAATAAACCATATAGATTGAAACAATATATGCATTCGACCTCCTGCAGCGATATTTATAGAGTCGAGTGCAGGGAATGGCGCAGCAGCAGGTCCTGTTTCTAGGGCTTCCAGGTAACTGACTTTGAAATGCTTCCGCTACCAAACGATTTGCCATTTAGGGCTATATTTGTAAACAAAAGCGCCCAGATGTGTGCCAGAAGAATACAATGAATACGATTTCTATAGCAAGCTTTTGGGCTGACATTTAAAATGGCGAAGTCAGGGTAGTTGTAATGGAAATTTTAACGGTCAGTATGTTTGAAAATGGTTTCAGATTTAAGATTTTTGAAAGTATATTTTTGATGATTAACCTTTACTATGTATAGTTCATATATTATCATGCTTTAATCTCTTCTATTTCCTATCTCTACATTTTTTCATGGTATTCTTTTGAATTTTAATAAAATGTAATAACCAATTAAGTAGAATTAACCCTCATTCCAGCATGGGCTTTACACAACTCAATCAACAAACCATATCTTATCTGAACATCTATTCATGGTGAATTTCCAGCAACCCCAATACCATTTCCGCCGATTGGTTATGAAATCAAAGCCAGAAAACTTACATAAAACTCAAAGCAACAAAATGAAAATAAAATAAAAAAAAAAAAAACAGAAAAAACACAAAATGATATGCGCCTTAAATTCATGACTAGACTTTTTCTAAAGGCGCGAGAATGCATTCGCAAAAAGAGGGAAATTTCATTGAGTCCGAAACACAAAAGAAAATTAGCATATGAAACGGAATTCAGTATGAAAGGAAAAAATAAATATTTAAGATACTGAGATTTGCAATGAAAATAAATGCTAGGGATTTGATTGATCCATCAGTTCATTCTATTAAACTCTTTCGGTTGAAGGAGCAATATTTCATATTCTGTTTTTGACAGCATGAGAATTCTCACTGTTATGAGAAACAAGCCTTTTTTAAATGGATTTACATAAGTAGGGTATTTTCTTTAAAAAATTTTAAATATTTTCGGGTAGATCAGCATTTTTGAATTTGGCGGCTTTTGAAAGCTTTCTGCCTTATAAGCTTATTTTTTAGCGGTACGATATTTTTTAGAGGCTAAGTAAATGCAAAATGTGCTAGGTCGTGGCTTTTGTTAATTTTTCTAAAAGGTTTTCTCACCCGGTTTATGTATTCCTCTCTGGTTTCTATATATGATGGTGTTCGAGTGGGGTAGAGTACTTAACTCTAAAACTTATACACTTGAAAATTGTTTATAAATATTTTTTAAGCTTTTCCAAGCACTTGTGGGGGTTCTTTTTTAGGTTTTAGATTTTTAAAAACTGTTTTTTGTTAACTTTGGTGAAGTTTTTAATCACTGTTGTTGGCTAGAATATTCAAATAAATAATTTTAATCACTAAAAAATATTATTTTTGATCTCTTTTTGGATTTAATTTTTATTTTATAACAACTAATTTGTTTACTCAGCATTTTCTATTTTAATTCAAGCTTACGTAAAATGCTAAAACAACGTCAACATTTAATTTGCACTTTTGTGAATTGCAATCCGAGACTGTAGAGAGCGAAAGAGAATTCTTCCAGACACTCACAATGGCACTCACAAATTAAATAGTATAGCTAAGCACTTTTTTAGGGAGTTATGGTTTTTTATTTTTCAGATAAAATAATTTTTATGAAATTATTATTATCATAAATATCACTACTAGTAGTTTTTATTTTTAAGAGAGATCTTGCATCCACTAGATGCGTATTCTATAGATACGTTTTTTTGACCCGCTCAACGAACCGCTGACTTGGAACGCACAAAGTAGAATGCTAGCTGGATTTTTGCATTTCTCGCAACTGCAACGGGGGCGCCCGCACACACACACACACGCATACACCCTTACAGACACTGAGAGAAACACCCACTCACACAGTGGCACATGTGGGGCACTCGCGCGATTATTCACATTGCAATAGCATGAGATGCCCGACCCGAGCGGAGCTTCCACAAGTTGTCGCCGGGGCTTGCCTTCGTTTATGTGAGTGCGACAGTGAGTGCCGAGCTTTCCGCCTCGGTCCTCTCACTCGCGCTAGCTGGCAAGGCTTGGCGAGGCAACCGGGAAACTCACGTGTAGCGGCAACGTGCTGCACGTTTGTTTGCTCGTCGTCGGCGAACGTTCGATAACCGTGAATAAGCAGAGTCGGAAAATTCAGAGAACTCTTTCGGAACAACAGCAACAGTCAGCATGCACCGCAAGAAATATCTAATAGCTTTTTAAAGAGAATATTAAAAACATTAAATTAAGAAACTAATTTCTGTTTATCTCTTAGAATTTTAAGCATTTCTTTTGATTTAAGTTTAACATTTTTCACATATTTCTCTCAGTGTAGTCTTAAACGTTTGGAATTCCCCACCCTGCACCCTCCTCTAGTAGCTCTTAGGCCTTGTCAGGGTGACTTTGCTCGGCTCGGATGTGCTGCCGATCGGTTGCCTAATCCTTTGGCGCGGCAACTCAACAGTTGGTTGCTGCCACACGGGGCGTATACGCATCGCACTCACACTTTGCACGCACTTCCTGACTGTACATACAGGTGTTTATAGTATACCTTGGATTCCGCGAGCCAAGGCACGTCGTCACCCAATCACGGTTGCAAATCAACTGAAATGGCCGGTGCGGGGCACTTAAGCACCTTGCCTGAATCGCCGAGACTCTCGTGTTACAAAGACACCTTAAGTTGACTTGGTCAGAATGTTACTCAACCGAATGGTAATGGAACGGTGTGTGTGTGTGTGTGTCTGGAGAGCCAGGAGATCATATACTGAAATATAATGAAACCTCATATCATTGAACCTTAAAATGAGGTTTAGAATTTTCAGGGAAAACTTAATTGTTGTCGAGAAACTTGGGATTTCGTAATAATATGAAAGTGATATCTTTGAAGAAGAACTTAAAAAGTTAAAAAGAACGAAGGACTTTTCTGGAAAAGCTAATATAATAGATTATACTATTTTTAGTTCGTCAAACTTATTAATCTTATAGATCTAACCTCAGAAACATATTTTTACATTTCTTATCACATTAATGTTAGATAATCTACATATATATTAATATTAAAAAACTAAACAAAATTCAAGACAATACTTAGTATAGTATTTCCTTCATATAATCGCATAACCTTAAAATTATTCAACACGAGGAAAAATAGAAAACAATGAGAAGAAAAGTGACAGTGAAAAACAGCTATATAGTATAACACGATTATTATTAACCCACTTCAGGTGATCCGCGCAAAAATTTCCATTAGGAGACAACAACGACTCGGTCGTCGGACACTCCACTCGGCATTGGCTCCGAATTATGCAAGTCCTAATGTTAATTTGTCCCTCCTAATTTATCACTAAGCAAACACAATAAAACTCGCAGCAGTACGGCTGGCCAGCAGAATAGCAAAGCATTTGAAATTTTTAATGCTAACTACAAAGTGCCAACCCTGCGTATACGTAATGCCAATAATTGCGTATTCGCCGCATATAACACATGCTGGCAGCTAGGAGGCGGAGGCAGTCGCTCCGATAAGCCTCTCAATTAAAAACGAAAACAATTCAAAAGGCGACTCTCAGACGCAATACAATGTTCCACGTTAATGACCCCTCCTCCGTCCTGACAGTGCAGATGATGATTTCTCTTGAAAATCATTTTCAACAACGCGACATGCGCTGGCAGAATGTGCAGGACCAGGACTTGGTCGCGTGTCCTGAAGGATGGCTGCGAGACAACAACGTGTGCGCAGCGACCTTTTCAAATGACACATTATGGAATATTTTATAACTTTTGTTTTTATTCAATGTTTGTGGTTTCCAAAGGTATACTTCCAAAGGTATAAAATACTAAACTCCACTGTGCTCCTTGATCCACTCCCGGGCGAAACTCACGCGAGAATACACTCCCGGATAATCGGGCTTGGCACAACCGTATCCCCAGCTGACCACGCCCACCAGCTCACCCGATTCACTGACCATGGGACCGCCGGAATCACCCTGGCACGCATCCTTGCCGCCCTCCAGGAATCCGGCGCAGATCATACGCTCCGTAACTCCACCGTACTGCTTGTACTTTTCACTGCATAGCTCCTGATTCACGAGGGGCACTTCCACCTGTCGCAGCCACTCCCTGGACTCTAGAAGATTCTGGGTATTGCCCCAGCCGCTCACAAAGCAGGTCTCTCCATCCATGAATTTCATCTGCGATTCCGGGAGCTTAATGGCCTTTTTGGTTTCATCGAACTTGATGGGATGTTGCAGCTGGAGGAGGGAGAAATCATAGTCCACATTGGTGTAGTTGAACTTCTCGTGCTGGACAATCTTCTGGACTCGGAGCAGTTCACCATGACGGGCGAATTCCGAAGTTCCCAAGCGAATCTTCAGCCTGTCAGCAGTTTTTCCACTAAAAACATTTGAATTTTATTTAAAGTTTAAATTAACTTTTTAAAAACGAAGCTTACTAAGTGCAATGGGCAGCCGTGAGAATCCATTCCTCCGATATAATGGAACCTCCACAGATGTGGCTCGAAGACTGGAGAGAGACTTGATGGGGGGCATCCGTGATGTTGATACGATGGCCTCCCACAATACGACCATCCAAACGGGGCGAGTATTTCCACACTTTTTCCAGTTCATCCTTTAAAGATCTATGTCTCTTAATGGGCTGTGGGATTAGGCAAACGCCTCCTAGAACCAACAGGCTGCACTGCAGCACCAGAAACACGGTCAAATGAATACCCAACATGGTAAGACAACGAGAAACCAAAGAGTGTTCCGGCTTAAAGCAGAGAAGTGCCTTATATAGGTAGGTTCTTAACTGCGTTTAGCATTTCTTCGATTAGTGATAGCCACCCATTGAGCCGAAGACCCGCTGGGGAGCTTATCTTCCCACCTGACACACTAAAAGAAATCTATTCTAGGGTGGGTTTTCAGATACCTTTGCTTGGAATTCAAGTCACAAACAATATTATTGAGCTTGGCATTCACTTGACAAAGTGGGACATGGGACGATGGCTTTACATGGATTACCCCAATAACCGAAAAGCATTCAAGGTCATCCCATAAAAAAGTAAGCCAGGAAGCGTGTTCTACCATTTTTTACACCGATTCTCTTTTATTCCAGTAGTGTAATCTTGGTCACACGCTAATAGTTCGTTTTACAAGGCTTTCAGGTTTCATTTAATGAATAAATTACTTAGGCAGGTGATGCTTTTTGGTTTACTCCACCACGTAGATAAGATTTCTTCCCACTTCGGTTACTTTTCCGCCCTGCTCCAGACTAATCTTCTTGGCCGCCACATCCAGTACAAAGCTGCCATCGCCGAGCAGTGTCTTGCCGGATTTGTAGTCCTGAAACTCGGGTATCTTGCGAGGTCCCAAAGCAGGGTCTTCATAGCGCCAGATCTTCAAGTTGGCCATGTCCGTCTTGAGTCCAATGATTTTGGAGAGCTTCTCGCGCAGGGACTGCGTGGTATCACCCTCGGATATGACAGTGTTGATCTGGAAGAGCGAAGACCGCTCCACGGGATTCGTCAGCTCCACGCTCACATTGGGCGCCACAGAATAGTTGATGAATGGAGAGCCGGGACGAACCTCCTCCCGAGTTTTCTCCGGAGCTGAGGGATCGTCGGTGTATTTGATTTCCAGGGTGTCCAACTGCATTGAATGGAAATAGTTAGATAAATTAAATGGATCTATATTATAATACTCACATCAAGGGTATTTTTGAGGTAATCCAAATTATTCAGGAGCACCTGGCGTTCATCGAACTCCAGGTTGACAGCCAGAGCGGCCACTCCCTTTCCCGACTCCACCTTCTCGCGAATCATCTGAGCAAATGGCATGACCCGCTTCATGAACTTCTTAAGTTCCGCCTTCTGTTGCAGAGTGGCTGCAATCACTTTGTTGTCCGGCAGGGTCTGGGATTTGTTAAACAATTCCCTCATCGTGTCCAGGACACAGCACTGCCAGGGAGGGTAAGTTTTGGCCACCCAGATCAAGCCACGGTTTGGTTTCAATGTCTGATTATCCACGGACTTGTCCTTGCCCGCTTTGCCCTTAAGCTGCTGCAAGTTCTTAAGATTGAGACGGAAGGAGTGGGCAGCCTCCATGAGGTATTCCGAGCACATGATATCCACTTCGTTGATGGTGCCAACTTCGGGCCAGCGAGCATGGACGATGGAGTCCTTGTTGCCCAACAAGCCCCAAACGTGCTCGGCCATGTGCGGGCAAATGGGAGCCACCAGGAGAGCCTGCCGGCGGATGAACTCCAAGACCAGCTCTTCGTGCATTCCCTGGGCGCCGCAGAGCTCCCTATACTTATCTCTGGCCAACTGGAGCTCGTAGAAACCACTCCTTAGGGCCTCCTTGAACAGCATTTTCCGATAATTGTCATCGGTTTGTTGCGTTTTCAGATTCAGTTCGCTGAGAAAGACCTGGTCGTTGAATGTCTTTTCCGCGCCCTTCCTGAGGCTGCTCCTGGTGTCCAGCATCTCCTTGACCCATTCAATGAACGTGTACAGTCGCAGGATACCAGCATCGGCAGTACTCTCTACAAAGTTGGCATCCTCCACACTGTCGCCAGCATCTGCCAGACAAAGACGCATACCATCGGCCGAGAACTTGTCCACGGCTTCGGTGAGGGTGAGGAAATTGCCATCAGACTTGGACATCTTGGCCGAGTTGAGCAACAGGTGACCGTTCACACGCATTCCCTTGGGCCACTTGGTTTCATCGTTCGGCCAAATGGCAGCGTGATTGTACAGGCAGAACGTCAAATGGTTGTTAATGAGATCCTTGCCAGATACTCGCAGATCCATGGGGTACCAGTACTCGAACTCCCTTCGGAGCACGGACAAGTATTCCTGCTTGATAGCCGTCTTCTTTGGCAGCGGTGTCTCCTTGAAGAAGATGTAGTCCCAAATCTCAGACGTCATGTCGGACGGTTTAATGCCAAATGGACCTGGTTTCTCTCCTCGGAAGGTGCCTCCCTGCAGCAAATGAGCCACAGTGTAGAAGGCCATGTAGATGGTGGAGTCAGAGAGGGATTCAATCAGCCATTGCTCGTCCCAGGGCAACTTCGTGCCCAGACCGTAAGTACGCGAGCAGGCGTACTCATGCAGCCAGTTAAGGCAAGCATCGAAATTGTTGCGAGCCTCCTCGTGGAAGGTCTCCATATCCTGCAGGATCTTTGTGGCCTGAGCCTGCCATACGGGCTCACCATAGTTGAGGTACCACTGGTTGCACAAGGCGACCACACACTCGTCAGCCGATCGGGAAATGATGGTTTTCTCGGGCTCGTAGTAGACATCAGCCTCCTTGGCATCCACCAGGCGCTTCTGCAGATCCTTCTTGATGTCCTGAATCTTACGGCCAGCAAATTCGCCCACCAACATTACACCGTCATAGAAACCTTTAAAATAATTAAATATGAATACCCAAATTTTAAAAAGTCCTCCCATTACTTACTCTTCAGGTAGCACAGCTCCTTGGCCTCGGCCAGCTTTTCTTTGTCGTTTTGAGACTGAATTTTAAGGGTTTCGTAGGCGTGGACGGCACTCAGTTTACCCAGAGTGGGCACATCGATGATGGGAATGGGCTCAAAAGGCAACACCATCTCGTCCTTCAGACCGTACTTCTGGCGGAATGCCTCCTTCTTCTGCAGATCGACCAGAGCAGCATAATCATCGGGAGAATCGGATGGAACGGAAGTCACAACACCAGTTCCCTTATCCTCCTTGATGCTCAACATGGGCAAGGTGTAAATGGTCTTGTGCTGTGTCAGAGGAGCCGACAAGGGCACACCCAGCAAATCCTGACCGGTTACCTCAGCCAGAACATTAACATTTCCCTCCTCAGCGGTGAATCCTTGGTAGGCCATGTTTCTGGCAGCTCGACGAGTGCTGACCCACACTTCGTTGTCCTTGGTGGTCTGCCAGGCAATGTACTTGATGTCCGGATGCAGCCAGCAGTTGGTCTGTCCGTACATGGTCTCCGGGCGGAGGGTGGCGGCCACCAGATAAATTGGCTGCTTAATAGAGCTGATAAATAGGACTATTTTAGACATTTTTTGAGAAAAAATTAAGAACAAACATACCTCAAAGCTTTGGGCGTTTGAAGAACCTTCATTTTAATGAGAGTGTACTCCTGAGGACCCACTCCCTCGCCAGAAGAACGATCGTGATCCATGCAAGGCTGTCCATCCTTCGGCGAATAAATGGTATACCTCTTGCCGTACATGATCTTGCCACGTTCCTTCAAGTGATTGAACTGCCAGCGTACAAAGGAATCGAAGAAGGGATTGGCATCGGTTGTGATGAAGGTTCGCCGCCAGTCGACGTGCACGCCGATCCTCTTGAGATCCTGCACCGCCAGCGGTGGGAAGTAATTGAGCCAGTGTTCCGCATTAGCGAAATCCTTGATTTCTTCGTCCTTCAGGCCGAGACTCTGCATGATCTGCCACTGGTATTTCGCAGAGCCAGTTTTGGCCACAGCCTTGCTCTTCTTTCCCTTAGATTTATCCTTGGGAACTTCGGATTTTGTTTCAACGGGAGCAGGAGACTCCTCCTGGGCGTCTGGAAACCTGGGTGGATAGCCAAACTGTTCCAATTCACGGGTCAGTTTATCCGCACATGCCTTAATGGGCATTCCAGTGCAATGGAAGCCAAAAGGCCACAGGACGCGGCGTCCTTTGAGGCGATGATACCGCATGGAGTACTCGGCCTTCGACAGCGAAAAGGTGTGTCCCAAATGCAGGCGTCCATTCATGTAGGGAAACGGAAAGGTCACAAAAAACTTCTCTGCCTGGCGCTTCTTCGGTGCCGTGGGGGCATCTGTCTCGTGGACACGCTCCTTCTCCCATCGCTCCTGCACTTCCCGCTCGATCTTCTGGAGGTACTCCACCTTAAAGGTGCCCTTGCGTTCAGCCTGCATAAAGGTATCGGATTAGGGAATTTGCATAGTTTTTGGATGCACTCATGCAGCTGGATATTTCGTCAGCCGGCATGTGTGCGTGGCATTTCCGGTGACGAATCGCCAAATTACTGGAGGCTTTCTTCTCGTCAGATCAGTACTCACCATTTTTGTTTTCTCGACGTGCGGGTCAATTGTTTAAAACAATTGTTTTATTCACTAACAGCACTTGAAACAAAATAATTTGCCAGTGCAACGTGTTTACCTCCTGCTGGAGCTGCTAAGAAATCGAAGGCACTATCGATTGCACTATCGATGTTACTATCGATTTTTGGTATTTTTTTAAAAAACATTCCTCGAAGCTTGAATAATAAACTTTATAATTAATTGATTATTCCTAATTACATTTTATGTTGTTTTTTTACATTAGTTAGTAATTATAATAGAATAATAAACATTTTTTTCAGTGTACTTATCAAGACCGGCAGTTATGGTCACTTTTTTCTTATCGACAAATTGACCATCTCTAGGCTAACCTAGTTTTTTTTTCTTTAATTAGTGTGAAACGTTTAGGACTTTTTAGATAAATTGTAACTTAAATTAGACGATTAGATTGCACTTAAGTAATCCATCGACATGCGACCAGTATTTGCCTTCCTGCTGCTGGCGCTCCTCTGCTTCGCCAGCACCAAATCGGAGTCTGACTCTGACTTTGAGGAAGACAATAATGATTTTGCGGAATTCGATGATGAGTTTGTGGGTGGCAGCTACTACACTGAGCCAGCGGCAAAGAATGCAGAGGCATCGGCTGGAGGATTGGGTTCCAACGATGGCGATGGAAAGGAGGAGCGCCCGGAGCAGCCCCGTAAAGTAGCACAAAGCGCGGACAGCGACGAGGAGGATGGACTCGTTGAGGACGACGATGAGTTCGAACACTTTCAGGTAGGGGGTTGCTTGTGTAAACGAAAGTCAGGTGCTTGCCGGGCAAGGTTGTGCACTTTGATTAGAGGTTCAGTGTTGTGAATGTGACAGGTGTTTTACTTTGTTTGTATCTTTTTTGAAACCAACTCGTAGAACCAGAAAAGAAACAAAATAATTAATTATCAAGTTAGTAGCTTTCTCTTTGAAGTCTTTCTCCCATGCTTGAACTTCGACCATTCCAATTTCTATTCTAATTTATGCAAATATTCTGGGCTAACAAAAACAAAAACTAATTCCACTTTCAGGATGAGGAAGAGTTCGAGGGATACGATGGCGGTGACTCCAAAGATCCACCCATAGATCAAAAGACAGAACCCAAACTCAATATTCCCAATATCCCGCTTCATTTCCGCACCCACTGGGATTCCTATTGGATGGAAATGCTCATGGTGGCTGGATTGTTGGCTTACTTCGCCAACTTCTTTGCGGGAAAGGCCAAAAACGCGAAGCTGGCTCAGTTGTGGTTCAGCACACACCGAGCCTTGCTGGATGAGAATTTCGCTCTGGTTGGCGATGATGGCAAAGCCGAAAACGAGAATCCTGGCCTGATCAAAGAGAGCGAGAGCCTGTATACGCTCTGGTGCTCTGGCAGGACCTGCTGCGAGGGCATGCTCGTTGAGCTGAAAATGATCAAGCGACAGGATCTGGTGTCCTTGGTGGCGGGACTAATGCGGCCACAGCTGGATCAGGCTCACATCAAGATCGAATTAACACGCGGTGTAATGGATGCATTTGTATTTGCAGTTGGCAGTAAAAAGACTATTACCAAGGTCTTTAAGGAGTACACAGATTTGGTAAGATTACAATGAATCCTTAAATTTTAAAATCTAATAAAATTCCTTTATTTTTAGAGCAAATTCTGTAGTCTAGTCGGAAAGCCGGAGGATCGTTACAACGTTCCCAATGGCTTTGGCGTGCTCTCTGAAATCCCAGAGGCCACGTCCGCAATACTCGAGTCACGCGTTATTACTGCACTTAACAAATACCAAAGCTATATCGATTACCTGCACATTTCGGACCAATTCAGCGGTCCCATCCAGCAGGAGGAGAGCGGAACGCTCAAGCAGCCAGAGACCAAGGCCGTTCTCCTGGCTGGATTCAACCTGCCGAAGCATGCCGAAATGGAGACCATTAAACCATTGTTATTGTTGATCTTTTATTTGATGGAACGCCTAAAGACTTACCGCATGTCCAAGGAGGTGGGTTGACCTTAATTTATACCAATTCTGTGATGAAAACTACATTCATGTTTTAGGGCAAAGCCAAGTCGGACAAGAATCGCCAACGGGTGGAGGAAGAGTTCTTGAAGAGCACACATGCCGCTCGCGCCGAAGCAGCCGCCCAACGCCGCGAGGATAAACGCAAGCAGGAGAAGGAACGCATTTTGGCCGATGAGGACCCCGAGAAGCAGCGTCGCTGGGAGCTCAAGGAGCAGAAACGACAGGCCAAGAAGAACGCACCCAAAATGAAGAGATTGGCCGTCAAATCCCTGTAGATTTGTGTTTAGTGTGCCATTTAGCTCCTTCTCAAAGTATTTGACCATTTGTAGCTGTGTCCCACAAATGCCAGAATAAAGCAATATCTGTTTCCTATGGAGCGCCAAAACAAGAATCTCTTTCATTTCAAGTGACTAACTAGAAGGCTTTGTTTGTGGAAAGATAAGCCACGTTGAGATTGCTTAAATCGGTCAGATAAGGTTTTGTAACAAGTCAGCATTTTAGTCTCATCTTGATACCCTTGCAGAGGGTATTATAAGTTTGGGCAGAAGTGTGCAACGCAGTGAAGGAGACGTCTCCGACCTTATAAGTATATATATTCTTGATCAGGACCACCTCCTCCACTGTGGGAAAAACATAGGGAACATAGGCCTATAGGGGAAAACACCGTTTTCAAGGGATCCCATCATGAAAAATAGACAAATAATCTAAAAAATATTTTGTCTCAGGATTTTGATGTAGAATGGTGATGAATCGATCCAGAAATCGTTTAAGGTACTCGCCTTAAGGTAAGGTACTCGATTTTATAATACAGTTCTAACAAGCCTACTAAGGATATCAATCTTAACCGCAAGGGTATACCACTTCGGCTCCACCCAAAGTTAGCTTTCCATTGTTATTTTTTTTTTTATTTTAAGTGTCCACAAGTGTATTTATTGCAGTAAAGAATAAAAGCAAGAAAGGGGGTGTTATTTTAATTTCATAGAAATGATAAGGCCCAATGAGTATTTTACTATTAGACAGGCATTATAAAAAATTACCTTACTTAATCCTTACCTTACTAATTACTTACTGAATTTATGTAAAAAAACTTATCGACATAACGATTTATTTTTATAATTCCATTGACCGGACCTCGCTGCTTTGAACTTCTTACAAATATTATATCTATGTCCGGCAGATTTAATCCCGGTGTATGATAAATAATATGACTAACATGGAAAAATCGTATAAATAGTGAGGGAAACAAGGTATTCTTTAGTTGATTTCCCGGTCTAGCCCAGAAACATCTAAATCAAAATGTTCAAGTTCCTAGCTCTGTTGGCCATCTTCGCCGTCTTCAGTGTGGAGGCCCGCCACGAAGTTCGCCATGCTGTGGAACGCCGAGTTGCCATGGGTGTCCTCCGCCGCCTCCCCTTCATGTTCTTGGACTCGGAGAACGCTCCCGCCGAGGACTCTGAGCTGTCCCCCGACCACGACTCCTCCGTTGAGAACCTGAGCCTTCGCCGCAGAATCGCCTGGCACATCATCCGTCACTACGTCCTCGCTGAGGAGTCCTCCGCCGACGACTCTGAGCTGTCCCCTGCCGTTGAGAACCTGAGCCTTCGCAGGAGGATCGCCTGGCACATCATCCGCCACTACGTCCTCGCTGAGGACTCTTCCGCCGACGACTCCGAGCTGTCCCCCGACCACGACTCCGCCGTTGAGAACCTGAGCCTTCGCAGGCGGATTGCCTGGCACATCATCCGCCACTACGTCCTCGCTGAGGAATCCTCCGCCGACGACTCCGAGCTGTCCCCCGACCACGACTCCTCCGTTGAGAACCTGAGCCTTCGCAGGAGGATCGCCTGGCACATCATCCGTCACTACGTCCTTGCCGCTGAGGACGCCGAGCAGTTGCCCGCTGAAGATTCCGCTATTGAGAACCTGAGCCTGCGCCGTAGGATCATCTGGCACATTATCCGCCACCACGTCTTGTAAGATTCCAAGCTTTCCTCCTAAAATGATACCGAAGGCAACGAAGCCGCCTTCTGCAGCGGAATTGACTTTCGTAACACCGCTTAGAATGAGAAAACCTTAAAAATTTTCAATGCAAAAAAAAAAGTTGTTTTTATATTCAGATTTGTTTTTAAAAAAGGGTGGTAAACGGGGTTTCTTACAAATGTGTACAATTTTTAGTAAAGAAATAGATTTTTTCAAATGGTCATAGGAAGATGGACAGAAAATGGAAGAAAAGAAAATGGACAAAAATCTCAAAAATATTTTGTTTCAGGATTTTGATGCAGAATGGTGGAGAATCGATCCAGAAATCGTTTAAGGTACTCCGCTTGAGAATCGGATGAGAATTGGGGAAGATATAGCCATCGCAGTGGGCCCTATAGGGGAAAACCCCATTTTCAAGGGGTCCCTTCAGGAAAAATGGACAAAAAATCTAAAAAATATTTTGTCTGAGGATTTTGATGCAGAATGGTGATGAATCGATCCAGAAATCGTTTAAGGTACTCCGCTTGAGAATCGGATGGGAATTGGGGAAGATATAGCCATCGCAGTGGGCCCTATAGGGGAAAACCCCATTTTCAAGGGGTCCCATCAGGAAAAATGGACAAAAAATCTAAAAAATATTTTGTCTCAGGATTTTGATGCAGAATGGTGCGGAATCGATCCAGAAATCGTTTAAGGTACTCCGCTTGAGAATCGGATGGGAATTGGGGAAGATATAGCCATCGCAGTGGGCCCTATAGGGGAAAACCCCATTTTCAAGGGGTCCCATCAGGAAAAATGGACAAAAAATCTAAAAAATATTTTGTCTCAGGATTTTGATGCAGAATGGTGATCGATCCAGAAATCGTTTAAGGTACTCCGCTTGAGAATCGGATGGGAATTGGGGAAGATATAGCCATCGCAGTGGGCCCTATAGGGGAAAACCCCATTTTCAAGGGGTCCCATCAGGAAAAATGGACAAAAAATCTAAAAAATATTTTGTCTCAGGATTTTGATGCAGAATGGTGATGAATCGATCCAGAAATCGTTTAAGGTACTCCGCTTGAGAATCGGATGGGAATTGGGGAAGATATAGCCATCGCAGTGGGCCCTATAGGGGAAAACCCCATTTTCAAGGGGTCCCTTCAGGAAAAATGGACAAAAAATCTAAAAAATATTTTGTCTGAGGATTTTGATGCAGAATGGTGATGAATCGATCCAGAAATCGTTTAAGGTACTCCGCTTGAGAATCGGATGGGAATTGGGGAAGATATAGCCATCGCAGTGGGCCCTATAGGGGAAAACCCCATTTTCAAGGGGTCCCATCAGGAAAAATGGACAAAAAATCTCAAAATTATTTTGTCTCAGGATTTTGATGCACAATGGTGAGGAATCGATCCAGAAATCGTTTAAGGTACTCCGCTTGAGAATCGGATGGGAATTGGGGAAGATATAGCCATCGCAGTGGGCCCTATAGGGGAAAACCCCATTTTCAAGGGGTCCTATCAGGAAAAATGGACGAAATATCTAAAAAATATTTTGTCTCAGGATTTTGATGCAGAATAGAGCATAATCGATCCAGAAATCGTTTAAGGTACTCCGCTTGAGAATCGGATGAGAATTGAGGAAGATATAGCCATCGCAGTGGACCCTATAGGGAAAAACCCCATTTTCAAGGGGTCCCATCAGGAAAAATGGACAAAAATCTCAAAAATATTTTGTTTCAAGATTTTGCTGAAGAATGGTGGCAAATCGATCCAGAAATCGTTTAAGGTACTCCGCTTGAGAATCGGATGAGAATTGGAGAAGATATAGCCATCACTGTGGCCCATATAGGGGAAAACCCCATTTTCAAGGGGTCCCATCAGGAAAAATGGACAAAAATCTCAAAAATATTTTGTCTCAGGATTTTGATGCAGAATGGTGAGGAATCGACCCAGAAATCGTTTAAGGTACTCGCCTTAAGGTAAGGTACTCGATTTTATAATACAATTCTAACAAGCCTGCTAAGGATATCAATCTTAACCGCAAGGGTATATCACTTCGGCTCCACCCAAAGTTAGCTTTCCTTTTTTGGTATTTTTTTTTTTAATTTTTAGTGTCTACAATTTATTGCAGTAAGGAATAAAAGCAAGAAAGGGAGTGTTATTTTAATTTCATAAAAATGATAAGGCCCAATGAGTATTTTACTATTAGACAGGCATTATAAAAAATTACCTTACTTAATCCTTACCTTACTAATTACTTACTGAATTTATGTAAAAAAACTTATCGACATAACGATTTATTTTTATAATTCCATTGACCGGACCTCGCTGCTTTGAACTTCTTACAAATATTATATCTATGTCCGGCAGATTTAATCCCGGTGCATGATAAATAATATGACTAACATGGAAAAATCGTATAAATAGTGAGGGAAACAAGGTATTCTTTAGTTGATTTCCCGGTCTAGCCCAGAAACATCTAAATCAAAATGTTCAAGTTCCTAGCTCTGTTGGCCATCTTCGCCGTCTTCAGTGTGGAGGCCCGCCACGAAGTTCGCCATGCTGTGGAACGCCGAGTTGCCATGGGTGTCCTCCGCCGCCTCCCCTTCATGTTCTTGGACTCGGAGAACGCTCCCGCCGAGGACTCTGAGCTGTCCCCCGACCACGACTCCTCCGTTGAGAACCTGAGCCTTCGCCGCAGAATCGCCTGGCACATCATCCGTCACTACGTCCTCGCTGAGGAGTCCTCCGCCGACGACTCTGAGCTGTCCCCTGCCGTTGAGAACCTGAGCCTTCGCAGGAGGATCGCCTGGCACATCATCCGCCACTACGTCCTCGCTGAGGACTCTTCCGCCGACGACTCCGAGCTGTCCCCCGACCACGACTCCGCCGTTGAGAACCTGAGCCTTCGCAGGCGGATTGCCTGGCACATCATCCGCCACTACGTCCTCGCTGAGGAGTCCCCCGCCGACGACTCCGAGCTGTCCCCCGACCACGACTCCTCCGTTGAGAACCTGAGCCTTCGTAGGAGGATCGCCTGGCACATCATCCGTCACTACGTCCTTGCCGCTGAGGACGCCGAGCAGTTGCCCGCTGAAGATTCCGCTATTGAGAACCTGAGCCTGCGCCGTAGGATCATCTGGCACATTATCCGCCACCACGTCTTGTAAGATTCCAAGCTTTCCTCCTAAAATGATACCTAAGGCAACGAAGCCGCCTTCTGCAGCCTTCGTTGTAAATAAATGAGAAAACCTTGAAAATTTTTAATGCAAAAAAAAAAGTTGTTTTTATATAGCCATATAGATAAAAATGGACAAAAAATCTAAAAAATATTTTGTCTCAGGATTTTGATGCAGAATGGTGATGAATCGATCCAGAAATCGTTTAAGGTACTCCGCTTGAGAATCGGATGGGAATTGGGGAAGATATAGCCATCGCAGTGGGCCCTATAGGGGAAAACCCCATTTTCAAGGGGTCCCATCAGGAAAAATGGACAAAAAATCTAAAAAATATTTTGTCTCAGGATTTTGATGCAGAATGGTGATGAATCGATCCAGAAATCGTTTAAGGTACTCCGCTTGAGAATCGGATGGGAATTGGGGAAGATATAGCCATCGCAGTGGGCCCTATAGGGGAAAACCCCATTTTCAAGGGGTCCCTTCAGGAAAAATGGACAAAAAATCTAAAAAATATTTTGTCTGAGGATTTTGATGCAGAATGGTGATGAATCGATCCAGAAATCGTTTAAGGTACTCCGCTTGAGAATCGGATGGGAATTGGGGAAGATATAGCCATCGCAGTGGGCCCTATAGGGGAAAACCCCATTTTCAAGGGGTCCCATCAGGAAAAATGGACGAAATATCTAAAAAATATTTTGTCTCAGGATTTTGATGCAGAATAGAGCATAATCGATCCAGAAATCGTTTAAGGTACTCCGCTTGAGAATCGGATGAGAATTGAGGAAGATATAGCCATCGCAGTGGACCCTATAGGGGAAAACCCCATTTTCAAGGGGTCCCATCAGGAAAAATGGACAAAAATCTCAAAAATATTTTGTCTCAGGATTTTGATGCAGAATGGTGAGGAATCGACCCAGAAATCGTTTAAGGTACTCGCCTTAAGGTAAGGTACTCGATTTTATAATACAATTCTAACAAGCCTGCTAAGGATATCAATCTTAACCGCAAGGGTATATCACTTCGGCTCCACCCAAAGTTAGCTTTCCTTTTTGGTATTTTTTTTAATTTTTAGTGTCTACAATTTATTGCAGTAAGGAATAAAAGCAAGAAAGGGAGTGTTATTTTAATTTCATAAAAATGATAAGGCCCAATGAGTATTTTACTATTAGACAGGCATTATAAAAAATTACCTTACTTAATCCTTACCTTACTAATTACTTACTGAATTTATGTAAAAAAACTTATCGACATAACGATTTATTTTTATAATTCCATTGACCGGACCTCGCTGCTTTGAACTTCTTACAAATATTATATCTATGTCCGGCAGATTTAATCCCGGTGCATGATAAATAATATGACTAACATGGAAAAATCGTATAAATAGTGAGGGAAACAAGGTATTCTTTAGTTGATTTCCCGGTCTAGCCCAGAAACATCTAAATCAAAATGTTCAAGTTCCTAGCTCTGTTGGCCATCTTCGCCGTCTTCAGTGTGGAGGCCCGCCACGAAGTTCGCCATGCTGTGGAACGCCGAGTTGCCATGGGTGTCCTCCGCCGCCTCCCCTTCATGTTCTTGGACTCGGAGAACGCTCCCGCCGAGGACTCTGAGCTGTCCCCCGACCACGACTCCTCCGTTGAGAACCTGAGCCTTCGTAGGAGGATCGCCTGGCACATCATCCGTCACTACGTCCTTGCCGCTGAGGACGCCGAGCAGTTGCCCGCTGAAGATTCCGCTATTGAGAACCTGAGCCTGCGCCGTAGGATCATCTGGCACATTATCCGCCACCACGTCTTGTAAGATTCCAAGCTTTCCTCCTAAAATGATACCTAAGGCAACGAAGCCGCCTTCTGCAGCCTTCGTTGTAAATAAATGAGAAAACCTTGAAAATTTTTAATGCAAAAAAAAGTTGTTTTTATATTTTTTTTTTAAGCCATATAGATAAAAATGGACAAAAAATCTAAAAAATATTTTGTCTCAGGATTTTGATGCAGAATGGTGCGGAATCGATCCAGAAATCGTTTAAGGTACTCCGCTTGAGAATCGGATGGGAATTGGGGAAGATATAGCCATCACTGTGGACCCTATATGGAAAAACAACCTTTTTAAAGGGATCCCATCACGATAAATGGGAAAAAAATCTAAAAAATATTCTGTTTCAGGATTTTGATTCAGAATGGTGGAGAATCGATCCAGAAATAGTTTAAGGTATTCCGCTTGAGAATCGGATGAGAATTGGGGAAGATATAGCCATCGCAGTGGGCCCTATAGGAGAAAACGCCGTTTTCAAGGGGTCCCATCAGGAAAAATAGACAAAAAATCTAAAAAATATTTTGTTTCAGGACTTTGATGCAGAATGGTGGCAAATCGATCTAGAAATCGTTTAAGGTACTCCGCTTAAGAATCGGATCAGTATTGGGGAAGATATACCCATCACTGTGGAGCCTATAGGGGAAAACCCTATTTTTAAGGACAAAGAAAAATAGACAAAGATTGACCGAAAAGAACTAATGTATTTAATTAGCTTGACTAAGATTTTGAATTACAAATGAATTTAAGTGATGTATAAAAGGTATTAAGTTTAACGCATCTCATACACTTCAACGTACTGGTACAATAATGAGCTGCCTACATTTTCGTGTGCTATGAGGGTACGGTTGGGGATTTTCCCCAATGGGTTCTTGATTTACATCCTTGGTTTAGCACTTCACGGGGAAGCAATTCTCATTTGACACATAGGCTATATGATTGCGAAGAGTCTTTATCTGTTTCTGGGCCGCATCGAAGCTGTAGGACAGAGTGTTCAGTTGTCCTTGCATCTCTCTGATCACCGCCTCCCGATCGTTGACAGACAGCGAGGCAGTTGCTCGGCACTGGGCCAGCTCCTTTTCCAAACGGTTGATCTGTTCCTGTTGTTGGGATTTGATAAGTTCGGCCCGTTCCTTGGTACCGGCAATGATTTTGGCCGATTCGGTCCTCAAAGTGTCTAGATCGTCTTGGGTGGACTTTAGCTGTTCACAGAAGAGGTCTCTCTGTCGGAGCAGCTCTTCCAGTTCGTTCCTAGCCTGGGTTAGCTCCATCTGGCACTGGGCCAGCTGGGGACGAACGTCCACATTGGGTGTACTTTCCATTTGGGCCTTGCAGGCCTTCAGCTCCTTGCAGACCACCACCAGTTTCGTCTGCATTTCGTCCTTTTCCTTGCACACCTGGGCCAACTTTAGTTGCTCGTTTTCCAGGAGCTTGGGGAAGTGAAGGAGCTCGTTGAGTTTCTCTTGGAACTTTGCCCGAATCTCCTTGACTTCGGTGTTGATTTGCTGCTCGATGCGCTTGTTGTTCATATTCAATTTCTCAAGAGAGACGCACTGCTCCTCCACCTTCTGCTGGGCCAGGAGGTACTTGTTGCGGTAGTCCTCCAGTTGCTGCGATTGCTCCTTCATAATGCACTTGAACTCCAGCTGTTCCTCCTTCAGCTCGTTGACCCGAGCCCGAAGAAGGTTCAGCTCAGCGGCATCGGCATCATTGTCGCCTCCTTTCGATGGACAGGAGCCAACGATGCCTTTCATTCTATTTAAAATTATATAACTTTAAAATGGAACTTCAATTAAAGAAGATTTATTACCTCTTTTGGAGCTCCTTCATCTGGCAGTCCTTGCGCTGAAACTCAGTCAGCAACCGGGTGTAGTTTTCCTTCATTTTTTCGTACTTGTCAGCCTTGGTGTTGCGCTTTCCGCCGCATATGACCAGAGGATCGGGATCCTCGGGACATGGCGGCCGTGCAGGGCAGGGTCGTGCACAGGGATCTTCCTCCTCCTCTTCGTCGTCATCGTCACCACCTCCACAGGGCTCCGATGCGTCACGGGTGTTCACCTCTTGGAGCAACTTCTTAACCGAACACTGCATGCTCTGGATACGTCGCTTCAGCTTCTCCATGGACTCGCATTTAGCAGGAGGTGGGGGACAGGGCGGCGGTGGGCATGGGCGAGATTTTGGTTTGGGCGGCGGACAGGGTGTGCATGGAGCACTAGATGAACTGCTGGGTTCCGGACACGGGGGTGGGCATGGTTTCGGGCATGGTGGACTGCAAGTCGGCTTCTTCTTGGCGCCCATGATGGCACAAGCGATCTCCTCGATCATTTTCTTATCCTCCGGACAGGCACCCTTCATCTTCTTCATGGCCGTTTGTAGGGCACAGACAAGCTTCTCATCCTGGCCGGCATTGTCCCGGGCGCCGCCGCCGCCACAACTGGCGGAGCTGCCGCCTTCATTGCAAGGATCTGAGTCGCTCTCTGAAAGGATTTAGATAAATATTGAAGGGAGAGTTGTTATAGGTAGGAAGGCAGCTAAGAATCGGGATTAGGATCAGAGGAATTTTAATACTACCTCCTTGCGGGCAAGCTCCGATGCCACACATGTAGGGCGACAGGTTGTCCTCATCCACGGTTGTCGTCATCGGTAGCTCCTTGTAGTGGCGATGACTTCCAAAGTTCTGCAACTGAACGGCCCTGTTCATCATGGTGTGGAGCTTAATGTTCTCCTGCTCCATGCAGATCCTCAGGCGCTTGATTTCCCTCAGCTCGTTCCGGGTCTTGCACGGCTTGGCGCACATATCCATTATATTGGTCTTGATGTCCTGGATGATCCGGTTCTGGCAGTCGATCTCCTTGATCAGCGCCAAGTACTCCAAGTACATGCGCTTCTGTTCGGGATCGTCGGACGACTCGCCCAGCATGGAGAAGAGGTCCTGTTCCGGCCCCTCCTCCATCATTTGGTTCTCACCAATGAACTCCTTCTCATCGTCCTCGTACTCACCACCCTCATCCGTGTATTCAGTATTCTCAGCCATTGTGACTCAAATTCAATTAACGATTTTAGCCGAAAAAACAAAACCAACTCTCAGAATAGAAGTCTTATCTGGGAACTGTTTTACAATTTCTTTTCGAGGTTTTTTTTTTGAATTTTTGTTAGAACTAACGATTTTAGACACTTCTATTCCGGGAAAATTTTAGCACATATTCTGAAAGAAAATTTCGAAAAGAAGTTTAGGGCGAGCCAGTTACTTTCTACGTTAACGAATAAAATGAACTGAAAGATCTCCGTACGTTAAACTGGCCAGCTGGATTTGGAATGGCCTGCCTCGATACTGTTGGCTCAAATTTATTGTCTAGGACTACTTGGTTTCCAAAAACCTATAGCTTCTTAAAAATTTAGGAAAATTACAAGAACATTTGAATGAACATTCTTGAATACAAGAACATGGACACTCCAATCACATAAAATATAATATTATTATGTGAAACCTTCATTTCAACCTTCAACCATCAAAAAGGAAAGTATTATAAGAATACTTACGATAACTAAGATCTAAAATTAAAACTATTAGCTATAATTTAGCCAATAAAATATCAAGAAAATAGAGAACCACAATTTTGGTTTTTGGCAAAAATCAAAGGGTTGCCCCTTTTAAAATTATTAAAATCCAGGTTACATGTTAGTTGGTCAGGTTTGGATGGGAGTTGTTTTAATTGAAGACCTTCGAAACAAATCTAAGACCGGAAAGATAATTCATTTATTAATGAGTTAATTATTAGAAAAGCATTGTTGCCCTGTTGACGAAGTTACGACCAATTTCGCTAAAATGCCAAAATGACAAATTTGTTGGCCAATATTTAAGCGTTTTGCAAAATATTTCGGAAGATAATACCATTTAAGAATGAGTGATCCAATAACATTCAAACTGCTTAAAAAAATTATATTAATTAATTATTATATAAGTGTAATTTATAAGTTAGTATAAAAATTTGTTTAGATTTTCCATTCTTAGATCCGCTCGCAGGGAAGGTGTAACATTCGAAGATCTGCCAAGTATTAAATAAGCTATGGAGTTCCCTTCCCTGAAATTCCCAGGAATTCCCTAATATTAATAATCGGAACACATGCATAGAAAGCCTCTGACCCAAATGCAAAATTTTCAGGCTCTTTTTAGACAATAGTTCAGACAGGTTTCTCCCGATCACGAAATGGAAAACCATTTATAAATCAGGGACTCAAAGCCCATCGATCTGTATTAGAATATCAGGAAAACAGAGAAATAAAATGTTGAGCCAATTTTTGGCTAAAATCATGATCCGAAACTAATGAAAATTTAAGAAAAGTTGGTTAGATTTTAGTGGGCCAGTTTTGGATAAAGAGTTGTTCTACTCGAAGATCTAAGACTGGGAAGGTATAACATTCTTCGATCGGATAATTATTATATAAGTTATGGAATTTTCAGTGGGGTTTTCAATGGATACGGAGAATGCTTTCGACCAGGTTAAGACACATTTGGCTAAATTAAACCTTTTGAGACACATTTTAGTAAAGGGTTCTGCAATATATAGTCCCATAAATTTTTTTTTTTTATTTTGACAGGTGTGGTTTTTTTTTAAACTGTCCAACAGCGACAACCATTAAATATTGTGGCAGAAAACTTGGCTTATGTGTAACTTAAGTTAGAGGTGGAAAAATAAGAAAGTCTAAGAGTTATTCCGGATGAGGTCCAGCGGGTGAGTTCTGCGCACCCGCCGCATCTGTTCGCTGTTGTCGAGGAGAGTGGTCGCCAACTCTTTGGGATGGTTGTGTAGTCTCAGGATGTACTTGGTGCTGCTTCTTTGGATCTCCTCCTTCACCCATGGGAAGCCAAGCACCTCGTAGATTGTCTGGTTGTCGTGGTAAACGTGGGCCCCAGTGGCGATACGGAGGGCTCTATTTTCAAACGTCTGGATAGTCTGAATATTAGTCTTGCTGGCCGTGTCCCAAAGTTGGATCCCGTATGTCCGTATTGGCCGAATAATCGCCTTGTAGATAATGTGTCCATGTGTAGATGTGTCGATCTAGCAAATAAAACTGATTTTGTCAGACATGCTTTGTCGAAAACAATTAGAAGATTTAAAGGAAAAGATCCGGAATGTATAGCAATCCCTCATCCTTAATTAGACCTTTAAATTCATAATCCAGATCCATGTACCAGTAGGCGTAACACCATGTTTCCGATTAATTAAATTTCGTTACGACTCAAGTACAAAATAATCATTTTTGGTAATCGAATGTGACACAACCTTTTTTTTTTAAAATTCTCTGTTTCGCCAAAAACAGCGCAAAAAATTTCACAAGTGCAATATTAATTAAAATACACATATAAGCAAAATTTTCGTAGATGTTAAAGTCATCAAAGGTGTCTCTACCAGCCACAGCCATAAGGAACAAGCAACGCACCCTGGGATTCCGTCCGAAGAGTCATCGGGCTGTATTGGAGACCCTTCGTCGGGGACTAGGCGAAGCCACTGCCGTTCGTTCGATGGGACCGGAGTTCGAGCTGGCCGAGCCGAAGGACGAAGACCAGGTCTCCCGGAAAACCAGCTATGTCAGCCTCTCCCGGACTCACTCCAACTCCACTCCAATGCCGACATCGATAAATGCCAGCAGCATGACTTTGATGGCGAAGACCAATGGCTCTAACGGCAATAGACTGGAATCCCCCGAAAAAAGGGAGGATGAACAGCTGAGCGATGGTGAAGCTATCGAGCCGGATGAATATGAGAAAATGCCAAGAAAGCGGGATCGATTGAAGAACCCCCCCAATTCAGATGCCATTGGAGCCAAGCTGAAGGAGGAGCTCTGCAAGTACAAGCAGGAGCTCCAAGAGTATAACGAGACGACCAAGGATCTGGAGGAGAAGTACATGAAGATCAACTACGAACTGAGTGAGATGGCCCAGAAACACGACAGCTTCGTGGCCAACCGGGGCTCTGAAATAGAGCTGGAAAGCGAAGCTGATCTGGACAGTTACTACAATTCGGTAAGCAGTGAGGCCTCCCAACTGACCGTCAAGCGAAAGAGTCCTCGTATCCTGCGAAGCAATACTAGCTTCATGACCGTGCTCTCGGGCCAAAGTTCTGAGATGTCCGAGATCGGCAGGAAAAAATATTCCAGTGGAAGGCGCAGCCATCAGAAGGATCAGCGACCCAAGTGTCATCTATCCTCTCAGGTTTTCGATAGTCGGATTGTGGAATCTCTGGCCAATCGGCATGCTAGGCGGCGCAAACGATCCGAGGACGATCTAGATAATCTGGACAGGGATCAGACCTCTTTCAAAGATGTCTACCATGTCCTCAAGGACGTAATGAACACCTCGCAGGTAAGTGGCCCTCAAATAAAAATATTCAAAAAAGTATAAAGTCCTGCCAGTCCCAGGATCACAAGTATAAGCACGAACGCGATCGAGACCGGGATAGAGATCGGGATAGGGACTCCGGGGACCTAGGCCACCTCCTGACCACTATTAAGAGTCTGAAAAGTGAGCAGCTTCAGTTCCGGACGATTATTCAGCAGCAGCAGGACCGCATTGCCGACTACCACACCCGTTGTGTGAAGGCCCAGGAGATCATGAGCACCCAGAAGCACGAGATCGATAAGCTGCATGTGAACAACAAGCAGCTGGAGTCGAGTATCTACCACGACATCGATTCCCTGCGCTCGAAGATCGACAGCAAGCTGAAGAACGTGTCCCACTTGCCGCAGATGATGCGGGAGGAGCACTCCAAGTACGAGAAGGTGATGCGGGAAAACTGTCTCCTTGCGGATAAACTTCATGCTCTTCAGCAGGAGGCCATGCAACTGAAGGTGAAGATTGACGATCTGGGTCGCCGGAAGCTGGTCACCATCAATCGACTGAAAGCGGCCGAGAGGGATTTGAAAATATTCAAGAACTACAATTCCGCCCTGAAGACTGAGAAGCGAAGACTCACGGAGGAGCTGTCCTCGATGAAGGATCAGCTGGAGCAGCTCCAGGTGAGCAGTAAGAGGCAGTTGTCCCGCCATCGGGAACAGAGCGAGAAGCAGCGCAGGGATCTCCAGAAGAAGATCTTCGATCTGGAGCTGAAGCTGAGCAGGAGCCAGAACTCCACGTCCAGTTTGATCCAGGAGCGGGACAGCCTGATCGCCGAGCTGCAGACCCAACTGCACACCCTGGTCCACAACTTTGAGGTCTCGCAGAAGCACATACGGGTCCTCCGCCGGCACATATACTCCATGACGAATTCGGGCGGTGCTGGGATCAATAGTGGAAGCGGTTCGGTCGGAATTGGAATTGGAGGAGGCGGTGGGGGCGGTTCTTGCCGACCTAGCGAAGCTGGCCTCATTCGGATTAATCAGCTGTCGCAGGGCTCCAGCACCGCCCGACTCGGTAACCCCAGGACGCTGAAGGGCAAGATCTAGAGCACGGGGGATAGTCCCCGATCCTAGGCCAAGCCCGTCAGCTGTCCAGGCAACTTGAAGATACGGTTCTGGCTTGTCAACATCGCAGGCAAGTCCATATGATCAAGTTGCTTGGATTATTTTTAAAGGAGTTATCGACCCAGTGATCCTTTCACTCCAATGATCATGTAAACTTATCCTTTTTTCTACTCTCCTTAATGACTCGTTTTAATGGGAAAATGGTTCAGGGGGGTGTTTAAATATATGACAGTAAAAAAAACAAAAATTATGAAAATTTTATTAATTATAAGTAAGTTTTTAAAATAGATTTCTTATCTTAAAAAAATATATCTTTTTCTAAAATGGTTCTAACCTTTCGAAATATCTCAATAATAAGAATAAATTCGTTTCCAATTTCAAAGATTTTTGCGGATTTCTTCCTAGAATTTATGTACGTGCTAATTGTTAAAAACTGCCTTTTCCGAAAATGCATTTTTAAAAAGTTTCCACAAATATGCTGCCCAGTGATCTCATTCCAGTTCTAAGTACTTGACCAATTAAATGTGCAATGTAAACAATACTTTTCCAAATAAATACTTATGTATTTCGTTTTGCGGTTCTTGAATCACATAATATAAGCATCGATCGGTTCGAAAATTAAAGAACAAACAAAAAAAAAATATGTAAACAATTTCCATAGCCACTTTGGAGAATGATTGTGTGCGAAAAGTGTTTGGAATCTGTAGGCTTCTTGGGTGTTGAGGAGCTGAGGGGATCTCTAGATGATGAAAGCTGAAAAAAAAGAAAGAAAGCAGTGTGCTCTAAGGAGAACAAGTAGGAAGCATTCTTCTGGCGGAGAATACGAAAAGAGAACCGAAGTCAGCCAGTCTAAATATATAACCAAGATTCTCTCTGAAATAATTTTTAATATTAAAACAACTAGAAATATGTGGCACTAGCTGGTCTGGGACTTGAAAGTACCTCTTATAGGAATAATTATGACGATTATTATAATTTATTGAGTTGGTTTTCAAGGGTCCTGAAGTAGTATTTATACTTCAGACTTTGGTTAGTTACTAGTTAAAATAAACATTTTTTTTACCATATTGCAGATTTATTTCTAAATCATTTTTACAAAAGAATACCTCTATTCAACCTACCTCACCCTGTTCAAAAATGTATTGGGTAGCAAGATATAATCAAAAAGGGGGGGCATGGCCAGCGGGGCGCCTTATTGAAATTAAGCCAAAGGTGCGCTGATGGTTTTCCGACTTTTCACAAATTCAGTCAGCTTTTCCAATGTGAGGGTCGTGAGGCGAGCGAATCGGCTCGGAGAAAATCAGTTTGGATTTAGCACGCGACGCGAGCGTACGGTATTTGACGGAAAAGATAGTTCTGGGGAAGATCTGCCAGCGCCACGCTCCGATGGGCAGGTCGTCGCTTTTTGCCGAAACGATGACGCAGTGCGTCGGTGCTGTTGTCATTCTGCTGATTCTGTCACACGTGCTGGCAGCTGACGAGGAGATGGCTTCCGCCTACGAGTCCACTTGCGTCATTCGTGCCACTCTCTATGCCACATCGCCGCTGGAGAGGAGCAGTCAGGACTTTGGCCTGCCCCTGGACATTGATTGTAACGGTAATAGGACGCTAAAATCGGACAGATTCGATTTGGGCGCCCAGAGGGTGGCTGGGAAGAGGCATGTCCAGGTGGACGGCACAGGAACTCCTCCGCTGGACATTGATAGCTATGGTTTGGAGTATCTGGATAATTGTCTGCAGCTGGAGAGCTTGGAGATCCAACGATTTGTGGGCGATTCCACCATAAAATTGAGCTGTGATGGAGCCATTCTCTCCAAACTAACAGCAGTGTCCTTTGAAAATAACGAACTGGGAACCCTAAGTGGAGATACTTTCCAGAAGGTGCCGCATCTGAAAGTCCTTAAAGTTCAGCAAAATTCTTTGAAATATATGGAAGTATTGGAGAATGCCACTGAGTTGGAGGAACTACTCATAAAGGATGAAACCAAGTTGGTCCTAGCAGATAAGCTCGTCCTGCAGAAGCTTTCGATGCTGAAAAAGGTTCACTTGGGAAATCTGAAACAAATTAGAAATGTTTTCTTTGAAAAGATACCCGAGAATCTAACAGAGCTTGTGGTGCGGAATACACCCATTCAGCCGGGGGAACTCCATCTGGAAAATGGGATTCAGGAATTGGTTAATATAACCATAACGGATTGCCGGCTAAGTAGTTTTGGTCTGGACCCTGGCGGACTCTTGAAAGTAAAGAAACTCAACTTGAGCGGAAATGCTCTGAAATCTCTGAGCTACGAGTACCATAACATCCCACTTTACTCCAGTGATCTTGAGGTCCTGGACCTGAGTAGAAACCAGTTGGAATATCTGAACAGAACTTGGTTTTACAAAATGATTGCCCTCCAGAGGGTCTACTTGCAGGAGAATCGCTTCCACTCGATGTCCTTAGGTGATCTAGTATCGATTGCACCTGCAAGGATTCAACTAATCGATCTTAGATCGAATGATCTAATTAGCCTGAAGGACGTTGCAAGAGCCAACGACGCCATCGTATCTCCTCCCCGACTCTGGGTGGACGGGAACCATTGGAGCTGCCAGTGGCTGTTGAATTTTTCCCACACGGAGCCCATGTTGTTTCGACTCTTCCAGTACACGAAGTACATCTCCCACATCAATGTGAATGGGTTGAGCTGCGAGCCCCTGGATCCGCCCACCGAAGCACCCCCAAGGTGGGCAGGATCATGCAAGTAAGGATTAATGGCACCTCCGAGGCTTACCTACCGGTGCCCCATCCCGACACGAATGTGTCCAGCTTTACGGTGCTCTACGGAAATCCCGTGGAACTGCATAGGAGTCAGAGGAACGGAGCTCTGATTATAGTGTTCATGCTGCCCCTGGGCATCGCCCTCCTGTTTCTTTTGCTGTATCTCTATCTGCACTGCGAAAGGCTCTTCCACCTGTCCTACTATGTCTCGGGACTGCCCTGCTTTGGCGACGAAAAGTCCTCAAGTGGCCCCCGATTCGTGGATCATGTCGATATTGTTCGATACCCGGTGGCCAATGGCAGTGCTTCACCCGCCGATGTCGACATCGATGTGCCCGATGGCTACGAGACGCCAGTGAGTGGGGCTGCTTCCATTTGCAACTGTACGGGCCACAGGGAGTCCGCCTGTTCCAGAACCCACCACGTCACCTACGAGTCTCTGCCCACCGAGCTGCCCTACCAGCTGTACGCCGAGATCAAGGAGCAGGTGGAGGAGGAGAAGTGCGGTGAATCCGATGGAATGCTCTCATCCACTCCGGGGCCAACGGCACCCGTCTACGATCATCTCTCCTTCGTGGAGGCAGCTCCTAAAGAGGACGAACTGAGAGATATTTCCTGAAAACATTTTGAATTTTTGAAACGATATAAAATAGAAGGGGGGAACGCATATTCATTCATATTTAAGCAGGCGAAATCTTATTTTATAATGGATTATTTAACTAGCTAATAAAAATTATTATTTTCGACAAATTGACAAAGTTAAAATACTTCTTCCAAAAATGTGATTTTTTAAACCATAAGTTAGCTTAGAAAAGCTCACCGATCTTTGAAAGTTATACCCTCCTGTTTTTATAACTTTGACTACTTTCTTTCGCCATCAAAAGATAGAAAGCTAAAATGTAGACCATTTTTCATTTTAACAAAAAAAAAATTTTTTTTTTTAAATTGGGTCTAATATTTAAATTTCCGTTTGTTTGGAGATAGCCCTTGAGATTCAGCAGCTTTTGACATCAGAGGTCAAAAAACAATTGATAAGCGGGAAGAATTATTTGATGAGGTCTGTTGCTATAGAGTTCCATAGAACATATCTGAGCCACGTAATAGTTCCAATCACTTCTCAAAAAAACTCAAAGAAATCCATTAAAGAGTATATTTGGATAATAATATAAACTGCCAGTTCCATCCTGAAAATTCCCAACCATTCTCCAGCCATTAAACTGCAAACACTTTTATTTTCAGTTCAAATATTAAGTTATATTTTATTTCCAATTAAAGGGGCTTTTGTTAACAATAATCACAAAATAATCACTTGGTGTACATTTTTAAATTCCAGATAGCTTCTCATCATATTTTGATTTTCCAAATCCCTTTCCAAAGGTAAGTTAGAAAAACTCAACAATGCGGAGTATAAATTAACAAATGTCTTAGTCCTACCAGATCGTTGTCCATCAACACAAGATGGACTGTTTATTTTGGGTTGATGGGCAACGATCCGAAAGGACTAAGATATTTGCTAAGTTATATTCCGCATTATTGAGTTTTTCTTACTTAACTTTGATTCATGATGTTGGATTCGATGGACTTGTAGTGGTGTTCTAGAAAAGCTTGGGGCTCGGGAATGCCATAGTTGAATCAGCTCAGTTGAACACTTCTAGTGTCTTAAACATCAAAGTGTATTTTTTAAACAAAAAAACTAAAAATGCGACTACCGGCGGTGTTCCTGTTAATAATTTCCGTTTCCCTGAGAGTCGTAGAGTGGTGTCCGTATCTCCATTTTCGTACCTCCGCGGAGCTCCGATGTCGTAGATTTCAATTTGTTCGAATAGTTTGCGTTTCCTGTTATTACCTCCTCGGAGCTTTGTGTTATTTCACGTAACTTTTATAATTCTCTACTGATCAGATTATTCAGCTCGCCGAAATCACATGATATTTTTCAGATCTGAATTTTGACCTTTCAGTTGAATAATTTCTTCACGTTGTTCTTTTACTTGATCTGTTTTTTTCTCGAACTGAAGAATTGGAAAGTTTATCCTGCAGCTCTGAGTACTTGACATCCTTTGCCTGGAACTTCTCCAATTATCCAAGTAGGGGTAGCACTATGGGATAGCAGGACTGTGGAAAGAGAAAGTATTATTTACTCTGTAAAATTGCACTAATAATAACCACTCTTACTTCTTGATCGAGCCCCAGGGAATCGGAAATAAGTAACAAAAACACCGCCCGTATTCACATTTTTTCTGTTTAAAAAAATAAACTTTGATGTTCAAGTCACTAAAAGTATTGAACTGATGGATTGAAAGCCCTGGCTTTGGGTTTTTATAGCACTTCCGAGCTTTCCTAGTCTCTTATCAGAATCAGTGAATCAGGTCCATGAAATTTGAACTGTTTGGACATATTTAGAAATAGTAGAAAATATATTATATTAAAAGTAGCATATTCAAAAGCATCGAAAAATAGTTTTTAAATTTAAAAATAAAGCCAAAATTGTATAGATTTGTTCTACAAGCTTGAGAGCTTCTTATCGTAATCAGTGAACTGAGAGTGCTGTCCTTAACATTCCATGGGCATAATTTTGGGAGAAACCTGGAGCAGATTCTCAAGTCAGAGGTCAAAAAACGGGCGAGAATCAGTTGATAATCAAATAAAAAAACACCTTGGCGTGGTAAAATATGGAAGAATATAGGACAAAAAATAAAGGTATACAATAGAGGTATGACAATAAAAACTATTCCTACCCTGTGATTTTAATGCAGTTTAAAAAAGATTTTTCAATATTTTCCAAAGATGTAGTCTTCGACCATAGGTATAATCTTCGAAAGGGGTTCTTCCCAATCGAGAGCTTTAACCACATTCCTCTTTGAAGGTTTTTCATGAAAATCATTCTTGTATCTCTCTTAAGGACCACTCGAAAATAGAGAACAAAGATATGAGGGTTTAACCAAAAATTCTGTAAGTATTGAGCTTAATTTTAATTTAACAAAAATGTATATTAATTGAGCTTCTAAGTCACTAGACTGCAAAAGGACGAATTTGTCAAAGAGGCATTAAAAGTATAAAATGAATGCCTTTATGACAATTTTCACCATTTTGCTGTTAAAAAAACAACATCTAATAATAATTTAAGCCACCAGTTAAAAATCAAGTTTTAAATGATTTTATTTCTTTACATTAATAGGTTTAGCTACATCTAAGTTTAAATTTTCAAGTGGTATTAGGTCATTCCTTTAAAGTAGGTTTACGAGAGCTCACAACAATCCGTCTGATGATGTTAGGTCTTTTAATCGTAGGCTTGATATCCTTGCCATCTTCGTTGGTCACTGGCTTCTCGTTTTCGTTGGGAACTGATTCGCTCTGTAATCTGTCCACGGGACTCAGATTCCGAATGATTGGACCGCTCGAGCTGAACTGGACACTCTTTTGCGAATCCTCGGAGAAAAGTTCCCTTTTTTTGCAAAGGATCGAACGTAGATTGTTATTAGTTGCATCCTTAATGACTGGATTCCGAACAGGAGTGCCCTTACGTTGGGGCTTTTGAGGCGTGGGACTGCCCAGAATTTGTATAGCTTCCGCCTTCCCAGGAGTGACATCCGGAGACTCATTAGCTGTTTCCTGGCTCTCCAGTTTGAGAAGCTTGAGCTTAACTGGAGTTCCCTTGCGTTGGGGCTTCGCTGGAGTATGTTGTTTGAACAGCAGATCCTCATCCGACTTGACATTAATGACTCCAAGTCGTGGCTTTATTGGTGTACCTTTTAGTTGTGGTTTAGGTGGTGATTTAGAGTTATCTTCTTCGACTTCATTTTGGGGACTGTGTCCCAGGGTAGATGTATCAACTTGTTCGGATTTTATGTCTTTAATGGGCGTGCTCTTTGTTAGTGGCACTTTAAATTCGTCCTGGCTTTCTTTTTCCAACTCCTGGTCCAGGTTAGATTCAACCTCTCTCTTGATTTTCACACCCACGTGGGTCCTAATAGGCGTCTGTTTCCGAGCAGCCAGAAAGTCTCTTTCCTGAGTTTCTTCCTTAACTTTAACTGGGGTGCCTTTCATAACAGGTTGAACTGCCTGCCAAGTCTCCAGATTCTCTTCCTTCACCTGAGGTTTTATGGGAGTAATAAGGTTTATAATCTCAGCAGGTTTCTCCGTCTCTGATTCAGATGGAAGATTGGTAGTTTCTTTAGTTGACGCAGCAACCGACGGGCTTTCCGTATTCACACTAACAATCCGCGGCAGGGCAGACTTCAGTTCAGCTTCCTTGATGTTAAACTCCATGGCCTGCATGGGCTTGAATGCGATCTTGTGCTCCGTCAACAGATTCTCCCGATCAATGATAACGCATCTGGATTTTAAGGACTCGAAGCGCCAGCTATTGTGGATACAAAATGGTAGTATTCAACTTTATTTTAATATCTTGAATCTTACCGTGCCATTTCTTGCTGGACGGAACGAACCTGCTCCTCCAGTCCGGCCTTTTGGATGCGCATGCTGTGCAGCTGCCTCTTCAGGTCGTCTGTCTCGCGTCTAAATAGGGGGGATTAGGATGATTTGGCATTAGGGGCTGTGGAAGAGAAAACCTAACTGGCCAGCAAGAACAGGCCGTAGCTGGTGAAGCTCAGCAAGATATTGCCGAGCGATGCCAGCGCGGTGTCGATGCGTTCGGGCAACTCATACTTGCAAAAATCCAGCATCGAGTCCAGCCAGGTGACTGACTTTTCGCTGGCCAGCTCGCGCAGCCGCTCCTGGTTAATGTTCAGCTGTCGCTCCAGATTGTCATTGGCATCCATCAGATAACGAATGCGTTCGTTTAGCTTGTCTAGCGTTAAAAAACATTGCAAATTAATTATGAAATCTTTATAAAAAATCCAATAATGACACTCACTTTGATAGGTCTTGTCTGCACTGCAGAAAATGGTGCTACAGGCCTGCAACTCTGTGTGCATCGCTACATTTTCCCTCTTCAGACGCCGTATCTCAAACTGGCTTTCCGTAAAGGTCTTTTTCATTTCCAAATAGCTCTTCTTCTGGGCCGCCAGCAGTGACTTCATGACTTGCCTTTGATCGTCCACCTCAGCAAAGAGCGAGTTACCCTTGCGATCTACAGATATAATTTATTAATATTCTTCATATTAATCCACTAATAGTTATAAATAATTACCATTATTTTCAGGAGCTGAAGTAAGAAGCGCTATCTTGGCATTAGCATCAACCAACTGCTCCTGGCAGCTCTCCAAAAGTTGCAGCTTCTCTTCCAGTTCGTCCCGTTTGCAGTGAAGATTCTGCTCCAAGCAGCTGACCTGGTCTTGAAGGCATTCGATGGTTTTCTAAAAAAAAAAACATATGTGGGTTTTATGATTTTATTGGTTTTTACCTTGGAAATCACCCACTTTTACCTGCTTGACTTTTTAAAGTCATTCAGGCAAAGACCGCGAAGGCGAGAATCGCTTTCCAAGAATTATGTATCTTACCTCTTTTTCGGCCACCGAAAACGTGTTCTTCACACTGGACTCCTCGAAATCCGCCAATCTCTGCATGAGTTCAGAGTTTTCCGCTTCCAGAGTACTCAACCGGGCCATGCAATCCTCGTGGACATCATTCGACCTGGCGGCAGACTTTTCCACCAAAGCCTTTTCTGTCGACTCCAACTTGAGCCGAAGACTCTTGGCCTCTTCAGCCTTTTGGTCGTAATCCTGCTGCAGGCTGTCCTGTTCCGCCTGTAAGTTCATGAACTTCCGCCGCAGCTCCTCCAGTTCCTGGTGCTCCGAATCCGAGGTGTTGGCCACGGGTTGGCTCCCCATCTGATCCAGTTCCTGGGTCAAATACGCCTCCGCCGCCAGAGCGGTGTCCAGATTTCTTTTCAGTTCATGGATTCGCTGGGCATCCTGTTCGCTCTGCTCCTTCAGCTGCTGGTGACGGTCATAGAGCAGCTTATACTCCTCGACTATGTCGTCCACGCTCAAAGCGCTCAGGTCTAGATTCGAAAACATATTGCACGTCTCAGAAATTGCGTCAGAATAATATTTAGGATCGCCGGAACTGTTTATTTGCTTATGATTTCAAAAAATTGTGCCAAGCGACGCTAGAGATGGATGTTTACCAAATTTTTGAATAGTTGTTATCGATGTTTGAAATATCGTCACAGAAACTTTCTGTATCTTATCGATATATGTAAGGAAGTTAACAGAACTGTTTAACAGGTTGCGTTTAACAGCACCCTAATAAAATACGGCGCTTTATTTAAATTTGTATTTCAAATAAAAATTTAAATAATAATTATGGTTTGTTTAAAGCAATGAAATAAGTAAGTTAATTGAACTGGCTTGTTAACTCTTTAGTTATGCCTTTTCTAAAACGCATGCGCTAGGCAATTGTTTATTCCCATTTAGTTGCCAAGGAAACGGAAGTGTTTTTCCAAAACAGCTGGCTTAATCGGGTTAAAAATTTTTATTAAAGAACTAAGAACTGAGTAAAGGCAAAAAAATGCAACAAGAAGAAAGTCAGGAAAAAGCCCAACAGTTGCTAAATTTCCAATCGGATGATCTGCTGGAAAAACTAAAATTACTCAACTACGAGAAACACCTGCTGAAGGAATTCAAATTGAAGCCCCTGTCACGGTTCTATTTCGTAAAGGCCACAAATCCGGGGGAGCAGTTCTATATGTTTACCCTGATCTGTTGGTGGCTTTGCAAGAAGCTAGGGAAGGATATGGAAAGGCCACAGGAGTACGACGATCCAAACACAGTGGCGGCTAAGATTATACAGATCTTAGAGCAAATTGTAGGTAAACTAAAACTTAAAAAAAATATTTAATTCAAATCTCTAATTAGGATGTGCCTGTGGATTTTCAACCCAACAAACTGATCCGAGGAGCAGGACCCATTTGCCTAATGGTTCTGGACGTTCTGTCCACCCAGGCCTGCAAAGTGGCCAAGGTGGCCTACCAAAAGCTACACATCGCCCAGGAGGAGGAGTTTTTGGGTGACTACCTCGAGGATAACGCCGAGATAATTCTGGAAAAACTAGAGGACGAACAGAATGCAGCTGCTCCCAGTGATGATAGTGACATGGAGCTGGAGACCCACAATTTCCGGCAACTCAACTGGCTGAATCGTCCCCAGAAGAGGTCCATTGGAGACGTGAATCTGGACGAACGAAATTGCGAGCTGGATGCCAGGATGACCGATCACCAGGAGTGGCGACTCGAACTGGAGAGAGTCCTGCCGCACTTGAAAGTTTTCGTGAAAGCCGATGCCCGCGACTGGAGGACTCACATCAGCCAGATGGAAACCTTCAGAGCCGCCATAGATGAGGTTTCGGAAACCACTCAGGCCCAGTTGAAGAAACTCCACAACGAGTTTACCTTTGATTTGGAAAAAATCGAAAGTCGGGAGAAGCATCTGAACAACGAGCTGCAGCCACTGATCCAGCAGTTCAAGGAGCAGTCCATTGAACTGTCTTCGATCCAGTATGCCCAAAATCAAGTCCAGGAGGAAACGGAGAAGCAGACGACCCAGCTCAACGAGGTCATGTTGGAGCAGGAGCTGAAAAAGGAGGAGATGGAGCGACGGGGTCAGGTCATGTCAGATGGAAGTGAGTATATCGGGGGTCTCCCTATTGGAAACACCTTGCCTCTTATGTTTGCTTTACAAAGATAAGAGGGATTTACAATTCCAGAGTCAAGAAATAAATCACAGATCCTATTCTACCGACCACCCACCTAGTGCTAATCCCTTTCATATTCCCATATCGCATAGGTTCGGTGCAACAGATCAAGAAATCGATCGCCAAGCTAAAGGAGGACATTGCGCAACTGAATCTGGAGGTGGCGTTGCTGGTGCATGCCCACGACCAGGACATTGTGGTGCGACAGTTGAGCCGAGACCAAACCACCGACCTGGCAAACAATCCATAAAACCAAAACCAACCTGATAACGAACTACTTAGCATGCCATATACATACGATGTGGTATGTGAGGATATGGACGAACAGGCAGCTGGGTTGGGATGTCCCAGCCCGATCTTTTCACACCTCGTAAATGGGTGTGCGACTGCTCTCGTTTACACCCGATCGGTAAGAGATAGGATCACTGAGGGAAATAATATTGAGTGATGTAATTACAAAGTTTAAAAATTGTTTGGTTTTTATAAAGAAGGGTATTAAGAATAAATGGTACATATATGTACATATGTTTATATAATAACAAAATATTATTATTTCAAGAAACTTTTTTCCTAGTGTAATTGAGATAGAACAGGATGGAGGTAGGACCACCGGCGTTGCCCCGCCCGCCTTGACGATCGTTTGATTTGATTGCCGGTGCCGCTGATAAGTTTCGTAATTGGTTGCCAAGCCAATAGGGCGGTCAATTATCACCTCATTGTTATCAGCTCCTTGGACACACAAACACACAAGAATACACACACACAAGTAAGCGCGTGCGGTCGATCCTTTGGCGATCGATCCGAGATAACGGTACGCGAGAATCGGGCTAGAGCAGGACGGAAGCAGTGTACACTATCGGCCAAGTTGCACGTACTTGACCATAAAGAAGCCGCCACTAGTCACTAAACACCAGGCACTGTAAGAAAAATAAATAAATCGATTCTGGGTTGGAAATGGAATAAACCAGAAACCTAACCAAATCAAAACGAGCCCGGAAAACCCACGAAAGAGGTGTTGGTGTCTGGCCAACGAACGCGCATCCGCTGCATCCGCAAACATCTCAAACATTGTATCTTAAAGATACTTTGTTTGCCCACATTTGGTTTTCTTTCGGTTACTGATAAGGTTGAAGACTAAAGTGTGTTTTTTTGGTCGGTTCAACCGCAACTTGTTGTAATTTGCGGTCTGGCCAAAGGTGCTAAAAGGTTTTTCCCGAAAGGCCTAAGAATTTTCATAGGATTTTCCCGGCAAGGGAAAAGTTGTTTTTTTGGCCAAAACACAATTGGAACTAGGACCACTCCTCGTAACTAGCCAATTCAATTTCCCTTCCAATACTATCTTAAAATGGATCAAGATAGTTAGTTACACTCCTAAAATTTCATCAATTTTGGTTAAGAAAATATTTAAAAACAAAACAATTTAAAATATTTCAGTTACTTAAATATTCTACTAGTTTATTATATTTAGTAATCTTGTAAAAAGAAATCAATTAATTCCCCCCATTTTGTCGTCTAGTGTTGGGGCCACCTCTCTTCCCACTCCCTCGCTCACTATGCCTTTTCCCGTCATCTCGCTTGCTCTGCACTGCATTCGGTTTTGGCCCCCACTTGGCATAAATTGCATTATTATTAGGCTTATTTGAAATGCGCCGCCGACGAGCCAAAAAAACAAAACGCTGCAGTGAAATTGCAAAAGCTCTCAGTCAGCCAACAGCATCAACAACAACAACAACAACAACATTAACTTTAAAAATTCAAAAAAGGGGGGATACCAAAACGAAGTAAAAAAAGAAGAAGAATAAGGAACGTCAGTTGCTGCTGTTGTTGTTATTGTTGTTGTTGTTGGTAGTGCAAAAAGCCAAAAGGCGACTACTGTTCATTTCCCACGGTAGGACTTCTCTCTCTTTCTTTCAGTCTACCTCGGATGCCATTCCAATCCACTGAGACGGAGATGAAAATAAAACGAGAACGAGACAGCGATGGAGGATGGAGTATGAGGGATGGGGATGGATGGGGATGGAGTTGGAGTTTTGGAGTCTGAGTGACTGGCAGTCAGGCGGCAACAGCAACAATTACACAAAGAGATTGGAGCCTCTCTCTCTCGGCACTGAGCTTGACTTGAGCTTCGATTTTGAGCTTAGTCTTCGGTTTTAAGGTTCGGCTGCTTGGTGGGAGGCAGTCGCTGCTTATGCTCTTATTGTTGTTGTTGTTGTTGAGCGAGTACTTGGATGAGTTTCATTTTCTCATTGTTGGGGAAATACAGGTGGTCTTGGCTAAATGGTAAAGCTTAGAAATCAAAATCTTTTAAATAATGTTAGAAGCCAAATAAAAGTATTTAATTTTTTGGATAAAATAATATTAAATCATTTTAATTTATAAATTATAATAATCCTATATCCTTTATGCCTACCTGTACAGAAACCAGAAGAAAAAAAAGTAAACCTGTTGGCCGTTTTCGACTTTGGTCTGAATGAACAAAAATGTATCTTTTTGTTGTTGCTGTGGCTATTTGGGCCTCGGGCTAAAAAGCGTTTTGTGAGCATAAATCGTGAGGGGATCGGATCTCTCCCAGGTGCCCTCCATCTCTCCATCTCTCTTTCTCTTTTTGTCCCCCTGTGGGATTCCATAGTCTCTAGTCAGTCCATGGAGCAAGGCGCCACCTACCCCAGAGATTCCTTTCTGGCTTATTCGCTCCCTTTTGTAATTTCTCAATAAAAATGGAAAAACTAATAAATTTTGGCCAACTGAATGGTGGGGAAGGGGGGTGGCTTTTGAAACTCAGCGGGGAGGCTACTGGAAGCACGACAGATCGAAAGAAAAAAAAATTATTTGTTTTGTCATATATGCAAAGACTCATAATTTATGATCTAATATACAAAAGAAAAGAAAAAAAAAAAAATTTCACATTGAAGGATGAAAACTTCGACGCTTCCCATTCAACAAAATTAAAAAAAAAAACTAAATAAATAAAAAACAAAAATGATGAACCGAGAAAGAAAGAAAGAAACAAATTCATTGAAAACTTTAAAGATTTTTTTTGTTGGTTTTTGGGTTGGGTTTTGACCTGATCGCGGTGTGGGATATCTGGGATCATTGTCAACATTTTGACCGCTCGCTGTGCCCGTAATCATCGGTCTAACCCCTTTCAAGACCCCCATATAGACCCCCCCACAAAAATAGGAAAGAGTGACGCCGCCGCCAACATCTATTTAAATGCAAATCAATGTAATAAAACATTTTTTGGTCTTTTCTTTTTAGAGGAGTACGACTTACAGGCGGAAAAAGTTTAAATTAAATAGGTTATACTAAAGAAATTAAAATTTTATTAAAATAATATATAAAAGATCATTTATAAAGCCCTAAAACAAGATTTTAAAACTTTAAGAACTTCCTATTACCACTTTTAATAAAGATTGTTCTTTAAAGCATACTTTCCAAGTTCTAAATATATTTTTTTTCTCTGTAATTTACGGTATTCAGTGTCGCCTAGGTTAACCCCTTACTATTAATTTCAATTGGAAATCAGACACCCACGCAGGCAACACCTTTGAGTGTGTTTCCCACTTTTTTTTTTGGAACGGAAGTTCAAATGGCGCTTAGGAAAAGACCAAAGAACTAAATCGATCGTAAATCACTTAGAATCCAGGTGAAAATTTTCAAAAAAATAAAAAAAGATGTGGGCTGGTAATTTGTATAGAATGGGGATTGTGTTCCTAGAAAAAACACCACAATTTACAAGTTTAAGGGGTCTACTTTTTAGACAAGAAACCGAAAAAGACATGGGTTGACACCTTTTCAGATCAATTGGGCAATGATAAGTGTTATAAGAGCGGCATTACAATAGATCGGTATTTTTTTTTGGTATTTTCTTTGGGGATCAAGTGGAAAAGTGATTCTGAACTCATTTGTCGCTATATTACTGATCTTTTATCGGTAATGTGAATGAAAACATTTACTCCTAAATGCTTTAAATGTCATTTGGAATTACTGTGGGTCCTTGAACTTAAAATCCTATAATTTATACCACTTTGTAACTCTACTCCTAACTAAGTTATCAATCTTGAAATTGGTTTCAAAATTTAACCAACAAGAGGCATGGTTTCGAACAATAGATTCCCTCTTGCTTGCCAACTTTAAAAGCTTTTGCCACACACTTTGCCTACTTCTTTATGGCAAATTAATGACCGAGAAAAAAAAAGCAACAAGAATTCCAAATAAACCATAAATTTTATTAATTTCTATAGCTGCTGCCTCACAAAAAACCAAACACACATTCACCTAACGAATGGATATTTGAACAATAGGATCGATTCATGGAGTTCTGCAGAAATACTACCGAACCACAGCGAACCGCACCCAATTATAATAAACAATATACGGCAATGGGTGAGTGGAAAAACCTATGCTGCTCCCACAGAAGTGACAACAAATTTAAAATTTACGAAATAAAAATTAAAATTAAATAAAACACCGCACAGCAAAACCAGCCAAAAACGAACAATGAAGGTAGACTGAAACCAAAAACCAAAAAACCTAAAAAACCAAAAAAAAAAAACATGAACAACGAAAATTAGCATACAAACTGAAGATCGAAGTTGAATATCAAATGAGGAATCCGATCAAGTTTTGGGCCAGTTCATTCAGCATTGCGGCGGATTCATTGATAGATCGTTCCACGGCTACTTTCCGTACTCCCCATAGTCCCCTCCAGACTAACTGTTAAAATAGACACATCACCCAGCGACTTTACGAGCCAGCGGACCATAATTCAAATTTATGTGAAGTCCGGGCCAAAAAATAAATCAAGTCACGACATTTTCAGAGAGAAAGAGGGAGCACTGGAAGAAAATATATCTTAAAACAAGTATATATCTTCTGGAAATAAAGATAAATATATGATTATACCTCTAAAACTATATCCTTTCTAGATTTCTAGACTTATTTTTTCCCTCAGTGATGTAGAGGCACCTTAAACCTCATCTTGAAAGAAACCCCAGAGACACCAAGTTAAATGACAACCCAGACAACTACCGTGTGCCAAATGATGAAATGAAGATGGAACCGAGTCTTGGGCTTCGTCATCAACGGAATTATCATCATTATCATCATCACCCAACTGTTGACAACGCCTTGCTGCGGTGGCTGCGGTCCGGTCCAGTTTCATTATTATTAACAATAAAAAAATATATATATATATGTATATACACGAAAACCCCAACGGATCCCATTCAACGCCCACGTCTTCGACATTTGTCCGCTTCCACAGATTCATCCGTATATCTTCATATGTATATATTTATTATAATTTTTTTGCATCTGTCTGTTTTTATTTTTCAGAGTCTTTGGTCTTTGTTGCTCCTCGAAAATTTATGTGACCGCATCGCTGCCGTATGAATTTTTAATTTTTCACCCAAAAGATATAGAGATACATCTACATACAGATATATATACATATAGATATTTTTGTTTGTTGCTTGGCTGTTGTCTGATTTTGTTTGCCTTTTTAATTTTGCCAATTAATGAAATTTAATACTTTTTGGTGCACCGTCTGGGCCAGAAGTATTTCGGTTGTTTGGAATTTGGTTATTGGTAGATTGGTAGAAAGTTTTTGGCCATCAATATATTGGGTTAACAATTTTGTGAGGTCTAAAGCTGACAGGTATTTTATAGATGATAGATGGGTCTATAAATTGGGGTTTTTTTATGAAAATTATAAATATTTTTGTGAGAAAAAGGATATTTATAAATTATGAAATTAGGAAGCTATTTTTAATAACAAACAGCTCTTGAATTTTGATTTCTGACAAGTAATGAGATAACATTTTTTGTCTGGACTCTTCGTAATTAGTTTCTCCTTCATTCTCCTCAAAACTGTCGATACGTCTCCTTTTCGAGTCTGCTGATTGCCCATTTAAAATATGCAAATTTTATAAAAAAAAAAGAAAAAAAACAGACAGACTGAGAAACAAAAGCTTCAAGCAGAAAGATGAAGCCATCAAATTGGAGTTGAAGCCAAACAAAAAATCCAGCCAAGGGACTGCACTTAAAAATGACCAAAAATGGACCCGAGAGGGAGGAAAATAATTTGTTAAACTTTATGGACAGGCGAAAACTTAATTAAAAAAATATCCTTTTTTGGGCGCACTTAATTAAAAACAAAATAAGAAAAAAACCAATACCATGCAGGCGGTTGGTGTCAACTTAATGAAGTTTTTTGTTGAATGAAAAGATACATTTTTGAGATTTCATTGAGAAATCGTAAAGATACAATGAATATATGGTATGGCGCAGAAACTAAAAGATAAACAGACAATCAATATGGTGTTTTTTTTGTTGTCTACTAAAAAGAGGCCACACAAGAAGAAGGCAAAGACGCGGAAGAGGCAGGGCGACAACAAAGGCGGAGGCGGCAAAAAGCCAAAAGAAATGCAAGAAAAAAGTTTCCCAGGCCCTGAAAACAAAATGGAGCTCAAAGATACAAAAAAAAACCAAAACTAAAAAAAAGATACAACAACAAAATTGAGTGCCGCGTAATACAGTTGCACTGCTCTGCTCTGCCACTGGTTTTTACATTTTGGCTCTCACTCACACACGCACACCTACAAACGAGTTGGGGCAAGATAGAGAGTGTATCTTTGTATCTGTATCTCTGGAGCGAGGCTCCAGAGCGCCGCCCAAAGCGCCACACAAAAGCCACGCCCACTCGTACACTCGAAATGCACAGGTAGTTGTGAAAGAAAGTTACCTTTGTTTCGTGACCCAACACCGGCAGCTAGAGTGACATAGATAGAAGCTTCAAACGAGAGATCGAAGTTGTAATTTTAAATCACATTTTACAAGCTCACCTTTCACTCAGTAGTCGAGCGAGCCAGCCAGCCAACTAATTGAAATGTTGACTTACTTAAGCTTAATTAACATTCAACTCAGGTAACGCCTTCGAAAACACTCAACTGAGGTAGCCGGGCGCTCTCTTCGCTCGCGTCGTCGGCACCTGGTCTTGGTCACCTGGCACGCTCTTTGGCTCATTTTCCAGCCAACCAATCAGCGGAAGCACTCAAAACTCGTTCCGCGCTCAAACAGTCAGCGAGAAAAGGACGGCTAAAGAGAGGGAGCAGGGAAAAACGAAAAACACAAAAAAGTTTCAACCCATCAAGCTAAAGTTTTCGATCGTAACTTTGCAGTTGAGTCTCGTGCACAGAAGCGTTCGGAAGTGAAATATATTTTATTAATAATATTACCCAACAGTTGCGAGTTTAAAGTGCTACCAGCGACAAAAAACCTCAAATCTCTTACATTTTGGCTAATAAAACCCAAGTGAGAACAAAAAGTTTGCACCATTTCCGCTTTGGATTTACAAAATAGGTAAGCATCGCCATTTTGCGGCCGTTTTTTTTTTCGCTTCCGTTAGAAGCGACGCCATTTTGTGGCTACTGTTTCGAGTTTTTCACCTCACAAGCTGCCACCGCACTTACGCACACTGGTTAAGAACGCAATGGGATGGAAAGAGATGGCCGTCGTCGAATGTTGCGCATACGCAGTAGCCGAAGTTTTCTTTCATTTTTTTCAAGAACTTGCTTCGGCTACTGGTCTTCGTTTTTCGTTTTTCGATTTTTGCCTTCGTTTTTTCAACTTCGGCTGCTGTTGCAAGAAATCTGGATGACTCACACACAGACACACACAGTGCCACCGAATTGAGTAACAGACAGAGACAGAGCGATGATCTTCCTCAACGGCAGCGACGCCGACAGAGGCAGCGGCGCTGGCAGCAGCAGCAGAGCTGACTACTATTTCTACTACTCTTTCAGTTATTAGTAGCATTCATTCATTCAACTTTGTGCCGCTCGAGCGTGCGTATATAGTTCCCTCTCATCAGTTCCTTCGCGAGTACCTTACAAAAAAAAACCACACAACTGCAATTAAAAAAAGAGATCAGCGATCTACCTAATTACTTTCCAACAAAAAATTTCCAAAAACTGTTAATCAACTACGTGAGCCGTCGTTAAAAAAAAAAGACTCCACGAACGCGTAATTCCAGTTTCCCCATTGGGTAAGTTTTATATCCCCCCCTCGCTTAATTCGGTAGCTGAAAATGGCGTTCGTGTTCTTTGACTTGTTCTTCGGGGCCCCCTCTTCTGCTTCTGGCTGTGTTCTTCCCCCTTCCACACTGGTTCTGCTACCAGTTTTACGCCGCTTTCATTGGACAACTGAAAAACCAAAGCGGAAACAAAATAAACCCCACCACGTAACACGGGTGCGTGTAGTGCGCTCTCTTTTTGCCACATTGCCTCTCTCCTGGTGCGCTAGTGCGTTGAAGGGAGACGGGGCGATGTGTCTAATATGGCGTGCGTGTGGCCAACGGAGCTTTTTTCGGCCCTGCTGAAGTGTCTGTGTGTGTGTGTGAGAAAGTGTCGCCATTTGCCAAAATGGCGGACAGCAATTTTCAACTATTTCCTATCGGATTTTGAAAACAGAAACTTTTAATGAAATTTTAATATCCTAGATTTTATATCAAATCCACTATTTTTAAATTTAAACTCCATAGCTCTTCCGAAATTTGAAATCCTCTTTAAAATAATAACCATATTTGCTTCAATAAGCAAGAAAGTTACATCATAACTTCTAAACCCTCTTATTATAACCCTAAAAATTATATTTCCCAGCGGCATATATGTACATTTTCTAACCAGTCCAAAGCTTAACTTCCTTTTTAAGACCTTAAAAATATTCGAAGTTTAAGAAATCCCCTGGGAATACCAAAAGCCGTCGGCACAAGTTCGAACCCCAACGCTCTAGCTTTCCTTTTGGAAACTCAGACTATGACTCAGCTTGAAATACCTTACGAAATACCTTTTTTTTAAAGACCAAAGTAGAGCCTAGCTTACAAAGAGTTAACAACAAATGGCCAAATCATAGCGAATCATCGCCAAGAATGTCCGACAGATCATCATCAGGCTTTTTTTTTTTAAGTATGACTCATAAACGACCATGGAGTTTATTTTTGTTTCGATTGATTATGAAATACCAATGACTATGGCTTGAGTCTCCAGCAGATGTTCAAAATGTATGATATTTTATCAAACTTTGAACTAAACTTTGCCATCTTTAGTTTAAAAAACCATTTATTGATGGAATTTCTGGAATTTTTCCGGCTTTCTTTACGGGATTTTCACCTTCTAGCTGCGTGATCTTTAACCTTGTCTGGACCTCATGCTGTTCTCCATCAATTAGAGTCTAATTAGCTAAGCGATTACGGTAAATGGACTCAGCTGGCAGCTAATCTTTCCCGTCTCCGTCGACATTTGAGCAACTGTCATATCTCGACATAACAGCTGAAGGTGAGAAGCGGGAGAAATCGACTTTCTTCTGCCATGAAATCGCCATTCGTCTTGAGAGATGGATCTGAAGGAGATCCCTCATCCTTTTGTGAGAAGATTGCATTTGCTATTGTATCTTTGTATCTTGTGGCATGTTTGTGTTTGGGGTTACCTTCTTTCTCATATTTTTTTGTTGTGAGTTCTTTTGAGTTGAAGTGGCACTGCCACATATCCTAATTGTTTCCACCGCCAGACTTATTGGTTCTGCTTGTCCTGGATCCTGCGTGGGTGTTTTTTTCCTGAGAATTCTTCGCCATTAGCACAATTAGATTCGTATCAAATGGGCATCGGTGCCCTTTTGTCTTTTCAGCCTTATGTCCTTTTATTGTCATTTATTCTCGCCTCGGTTTTTGGTTTTCTTGTTTTTTCACTTTTCGGTTGTAATTTTTAATGGCACCTTGCCAACTCACTGTCCGCCTCCTCCTACAAAAAAAAAAAAAAAAAAACGGAGAAGAGAAAGAAGTGTGGTAATCGCTTTTGACCATGGCCCGTCCTGCGACGTGTGTGTCACTTTTGGACCCTGTTTTGAGCCCTGTTATCGCCCATACCGCTACACATTTATCTCGGGGTGTTAAACTGTAACTGTGGCACTTCGTGGAAGTCCCCGGCGCACTTACTTTGCCCTGCACACACCGCCTTCCGACACCACCTTCCGACAACACCTCCACCATCCACCGCCACCTTAACTCCCAAGTCCATCTCCATATATAATCTCTCACTCTCTGTTTGCCATTTTTATTTCACATCTTTCCCATCGGTGCAAATCTAATTTCACGCAGCATTAACGCCTTTCGCATGCCCTTCAAAAACCCACACACAACCCAAAACCCAAAGAGTCAGGATCTCATGCTGTGCGGGAGATCTTTCTTCCCATCTCCTCCGGGCGATCTCCTTGCGATCTCCGGGCGATCTGTCCCTGAAAGAAAGTAGAATGTGCGAGTGTGCACAACACTAATTATTTTCAGTGCGGATTAATGGGATTATCTTTGAGTTGGACAACAGTTTATTATACAATATTTGGGCAGTTTTTCCCTTCACATCGGTGGGTGTTCACTTTTGCGCTTAAGCGGATTGCGACTTGCAGTTGCCAAATACAAACAGTTGGAGATCGGTTGGGATCAGTCCAACATTTGGTGTGGCAGAAGGTGCCAAGAACGTCCGGATTTTCAGCAGATTTTTAAGTGTTCCAAAGAGGATCAAGAAGATCAGACGATTTGAAAGTCAAAACCAAGAGAAGAAGTATCCTGTATCCTTCTATACCATCTAGTCTTAATCACAACTCATTAACTTGGCATATTGATGGCCTCACTCCCAGGGAATTCTTCTCTCCTTTGGCAGATAATTTAAACCAACCAAATAGAGTGCTTAACCCCGGAGATCGGCCCATAGCTAATGGTGCTCCACTTAAGCCCACGCTCCCAGAGACACAAAGCCAAATCCAAATCCGCATCCAAATCTAAAGCAAAGCATAACCAAATGGTTAAAACCAAAGCGGATCAGAGAGACCCGGGCCTCAAAGCCCAAAACCCCAAACCCGGAGACCCAAACCAAAGAATCCACATGGAATGGATGGCCTTATGCAGGCGCCCTGTGTCGCATGATTAACGGCGTTAAAATGCCAATGTGACGCCACATTGTGTACACAAATTAACATTGGAGGAGTCTCTCTTTTGGCCAGGGAGTCGGGCTCCAGACATGACCAATGCGATCAGCGACCCAAACCCGAACCTCTACACCTCATACAGTGAAAGAAATTCAAGTATCTTTGAAGAAATCAAGTACTAAGTAAGATGTTGTTAGATACTAGATAGGTTTTAGGATAGAAATTCATCATTGAACTATCTATCTATGTGTATTTATTGATTCTTATATCGTGGGGTGTTCTATCTAGTATCTATCTATCTATCTCTCATGTTATCTAGGCCCTTAGATATCTAGCTATCTCTCTAATCAATCAATTATATAGATATAATGCAATTACCTCTCATTGTTTGGAAGCATTATCACCTCGAATTTTCTCGCAGTGCCTTAAATTCGAATGCGACTCAGTGTTATAATTTGAATATGTTTAGTGGGCATTAATGTTATAATGACAATAACTACGTACCGTCTGTGGCCGGTGCAGCACCCGCTGTGACGTTTGCCTTTTGTTGTCAACGTTGGCTCCCCATTCTGCGACCTACCCCCCACCCCACTTTAACCAACCAACCCGTTTCCGAATCCGAATCCCAAAACCCAATCCGAATCCCAAAAGTGTTCCAGCTGTGAGCTGAAAGCACCATAACATATAAATAAATATCGAAATCGGGTCTCGCCGAGACGCTTGTCGCTACCAGTCAGCGCTGGCCTTTGTTTTGCGCAGAAAAATTCCCGAATCTCAACCATGGTTACTAAAATCTGGGAAATATATCCACCAACCATTCCAATCCGAAAAAAAGTATTTATATTGAAGAAACAGAAACCGCCATCCAGCGGCGCCGAAATGACAAAAATAAAATTACATAAAAAATAACAGTTGTTAACTACTGAGAAGGGAAACCACATCGATGGGCATAAATTTTGTGTTGGCTTTGCGAGGCGCCAATTAAAAATAAACTTGTTACAGCGCCACCTTAATGAAGTGGCCAAAGACAGGGAGATTTTGGCAACTGTACTTGGTCATAAAGCGACGGGGGTGTTGGCCCAGTGATGACTCAGTTAATGGTGGAGAGATGTAGCCTGGGAACACTGGTCATCTTATGGGGTATACTTATAGGTATGTTTCCGGAAGTCAAAACTTTACTTATCCCCCCAAAAGATATATGGTATGAGTGTCTCTACACCCGGAGGTGAACAATCGATGGTGTCGTTGAAGACAAATTATTTAAAATCCATCCGAAGGTTAGCAACTGTGAAAATAAAACTGAGTTGTCTGGAGGCCCGGGTGATTTGTAAATGTCAACACTCCGAGGAGGATTGTGTTGCTTTCAGTGAGTCACTGGAGATCTCTTGTTGCACCTACAGACTTACTGTTTTTTCTTTCAACTATTATTTTAATCACAAACATATTTCTCTGTTTATATAGAAACACAGAGATATAAATTTTATTTTATGTATATGTATGTATATAGTGTGTGTTTTTTTTTTGTGTGAGAATTTATTGACCCATAAAAGATGTCGCAGGCGTTGCTAACTTTATTTAAACTTTGCGTTTCCCTCTGTTTTAGGTGTTTGCCTTAAAGTGCGCCATAAACTAAGGCGGCTGCTAAGTCGACGAGGAAGAGTGAAAATAACGCCCACCAGCGACTAACTAACTGGACGACTAAATACCTGAAAAAAGGGGAGGCGAGGTGAAATCACAGAGTTGCGATAGGAGCTTGGAAACAAAAAACCACAAAAAAAATAAAAGATAAAGCCTCCTAGAGGAAGCAACGTTGCCACATTTCACCGACCAATCAGTCGAGCAATTAACCAAGGTGTTATCTCTCAGATAGTGATTAGAGGCGGCGAGAGTACCGTTAAAAAAACGCACCCCCTCGCCCCATTTTTTTGAGTGGAAAACCCCATTCTACGGAGATAAAGAGCATTATAGAGAGGGCGCTAGCAGACGGAGTGGCTGCCATTGGAATACCCATTTAGAGTGAGCGGGAGATCCCAGAAAGACCGTGTTCGGAGCGCACTGAGTAGTAACCACCACCACCGGCGGTGTAGCACTCGAATCGACGAAACTCAACCACTCAACCAACCACCACACTCAGCCGCAGCGGAGAAGTACACATATCGCCTGTCAAAATGTTTGCTGTAATGCGAATCGACAACGATGACTGCCGGTCCGATTTCCGCCGCAAGATGCGTCCGAAGTGCGAGTTCATTTGCAAGTACTGCCAGCGGCGATTCACCAAGCCGTACAACCTGATGATCCACGAGCGCACCCACAAGTCCCCCGAGATCACCTACTCGTGCGAGGTCTGCGGCAAGTACTTCAAGCAGCGCGACAACCTGCGCCAGCACAGGTAAGCCTTCTGAACTAAAGTTCTAGTTTAATTTTTGGGCTAAAAATCATAACAATACATATCCCTGCAACCAAAAGGATAATATAGCTTAATTTGAATTATAAAGGGGGTTCATTATATTTTTCAAGGCATATCAAGTATTTTTATTCGAAATTTCCAACTTAAGGATGTAGTCTCATGTGTGAGGTTGAAAAAATCGATTTTTTTTTTTCAACACATTTCGATAGTAATGTTTATTAAGAATGTACTGTTAAAGTTTCAAATAAAAATATCAAATAATGACAGAGATACAGCCCATAATCGAGAGCGCGCCTACACCAAAAAGTATGAGTTTCTCGGTAGCGTCTAAACTTTAAACGAGTTTTTCTCGGAACGACATTTTTGTGTGCGGCGCAGGTGATTCACAAAATTCTATGGTACCGATCTAGCTGAAATTTGGATATGTTGTTCTTAAAAGTAACACCTCTGTCCCGTACTAGAATCATTTATTTTTAATGATTAGTTTTTTTTTTATCATTAATTTAAGATAAATTTTTTAAATTATAACAAATTTTTTTTTTTGTGAGCTTGCCATTTTGTTGTTTATTGATGAAAATATTTCATTCTAGTACGGGACAGAGCCATAAGCTTACAAAACAATAATCTATTCTAATTTTTTGTTTCGGATGACTCTAGCAGTCGAAATCACCTGCGCCAGGGACTTACCTTTTTTTTGTATATGCATACTTTGGCATGCTATAAAGTGTATTAAACTACACAAGAATAAATTAAACAAAATATTTTCAAATAGTTTATGATGCCTATAAAAACATATGTGAAAATTGGAACGATCGCATTATTTTTTATTACAAAAAAAAATTTTTGAAATAACCTCTAAAAAGTAGGCCGGAACATGAGACTACATCCTTAAGTTCTGTTTTTGAAGACTTGTCACTTTTGAAAATGTTTAAAAAGAAAGCCTAAAGTAGTTCTAAAATTAAACCTTAAAATGTATCTACTTTGGAAATTATAATTTTTTTAATTAAAATCTTTGTAAAATGAGTAAAGTTTATAGGAATATTAAATTTTGAATCGAAAAAACCCCAAAAACTAGGCTAGAGTACATGACTTACATACATACTTGCATATATTTGTTTTAAAAATGATTTCGGTTTATATTTTTGTGTAAATATTTAGAAAAAAATTTAAGTGCATGGTTTTAAGGTTTTAAGTGAAAATATAATTAAATACTTATTATTTTTTTACGGTGATGGATGTATAGAAAACAATTAAAGTGTGAACTATATTCAAAAACTTTCCCTTGGGAATTTCAGGCGAAAAAATTAAACTAGAAAACCATAAAGGGGGTTTACATTATTAGTGAGATAAACTTCCCTAATTTGTATGCCTTGTTCTATATATTTTCCAAGTAAATCCCCTTTAAAACTATTGACTTTTTAATTGAATAAATGAATTAGTTATTTAAACAGAAGCTAAAGCCACTTAAATGAAAATTTCACAATTATTTCATTTATTCACGTAAAACGTAAAGCCCAAGCTGAATCAAAATATAATATATATGGATAGTTTTATCTTGATAAGCTTGATAAAACTCTAGGAACTTCCCCAAAAAAAAGTTTTAGATAAAAGGCATTTTCACCACCAGAGTTTCCGATTTGAAAGCTTCTTTCGATTGATAAAAAGCTTAATCACACCATCAGAATACACTCTTACTCATAAACATACCTCATACACTTCTAACCAACCATAAAGAGAACCGAAATCATTTTTTTGGGGCAGCCATCAACGCTTTGTTAATATTATTATTGAAATCAATTATTTTTTTTTTTGATCACAACCTTCAACCTCAATCACATCACGAATTATTCTCTATTTTTTCTCTTCTCTCTCTTCTATTTGTAGATGTAGTCAGTGTGTTTGGCGATAAGCTAAAATATACCATATATAAACATATATATATATAAAAAGTAAAAAACAAAACCACACACAGAGCAATATATAAAGTAAAACCGATATCTAAGCACCGCAGCACCAACAACAGCACGCAATATCACAGCTATATCTTAAAAAACAAAAAAACAATAAAAAATCAAATCTGAATGGGATCTAAGCAGCAATGAAGCAACTGCAACTGCAACAGCAATATTGCAACTGCAACAACAAGCACACACACCCCGCCTACCGCCTACCGCCCACTTCTTCATGCACCACTCTAAGCATAAGTAAAAAAATAAAAATATTTATAGAAAAAAAAACAAATATACATATCTGCAACAAAAGCAACTCTGCAATATTGCTTAAACTACTAGATGCAATCTACAGCAACAACAAGCGATTATATTGAATGGAATGCTAAGTTCAGGTGTTGGTTTTCAATCTATTTGGTTATCTGGTCTATACAATGCACTTGCCACGCCCCCATCAACATCAGAAAAAACAAAAACAAAAAAAAAACCACTACAATCAATGTTGCGCAGGCGCAGCACAACAGCAACAACATCAACAATAGCAAGCAGCAACAACATTTAAAATATTATTTCCAGAAACCTGCACATGGACACATGTGGGCGTGGCTGTTTTGGGAAGTGAAGAAGAAGCAGAAGCGGCAATAAAACTAAAAACAACTAGCAACCAGCAACTAGCAATCATCAAACCAGCAACATGCAACATGCAATACCATAGGAAAAAGCAGAAGCAACATTAAATAAGTGACATCCCAGCAACAACTAACAACGCAACATGCAACATGCAACTGGCTTTCTCATCTTCTTACCAGTATTTGCCAGTGTTGTAAGTGAAAGTGCAATTAAGCTTAAGCTTCTTGGGCTTTCCAAAACAATTCAACAACACTGGCAATCCATAGCAACAACCTAGCAACATGCAACACCAATCAGCTGCAATTATCTTGCCTTATAAACTTAAATAATTGATTTACCACCTCCCGCAAAACCCCCCTCTCGCTATATATTTGTATGCATAATAAAAATTAATTAAAATTAAATAATAATATTAAACAAAAAAAATGAGAAAAATTAAAAAACAAACACCCACATACATGATAAGTATTTGTATTTTAAAATCAGAAACACGTTGAAAATGTATTACATAAAATTAATAATAATAATTAATAATTAATAATAATAATACAAAAATTATTAAATAAATATTTACGATATGCGATTGTTTTGTTTAAGTTTATATTTTAAATGAATAAATTGAGAGTAGAAATGAGTGAAAAAGGCGAAAAAAATTTGCAAAAATAAAAAAATCGACAAAAAACAAAAGTTTTTTGTTTTTGTTTCCTTCTTTTAAGTGCCCGGCAATAAGATTGTAAATGATTTCCGCTATTTATAATATTAATAAAAGCAATTAATTAATAATATCATCCCTCGGCATGAGACTCTGTAAAATTTTGAACATTTTCTGTTTTATGTTTCCTCCAAAAATAAATCAGCTAAAGAGAAAAGCGCAATTTATAAATAAATCCTAGAGTTTAACGGCAAAACAATAAGTAATTAAATAAACATATTTATATAATTAAAAGAAAAACCCAACAGAAAACCTAAAAAAGTTTGTGTTTTTATTCTTTGTGACGTCAGAAGGTGGGCAATCTAAAGGGTCTGGGGAAAGGATACTTAGATACATATGAGAAAGAGATGCTTTCTCAAAACTGCTTCAAGTCAACTGCTCGGCTGCGTTTTCGCCGGTAGTCTGTTGCTAGTCGTGTAATTCTTCACGTAATTAAGTAGTTAAGTAACTTGTTTCTATTAAATTATCATTTAATTGACAGAAAACAACAAATAGGTTTTGTTGTTCACGCCTAGCCAGGTGAGATGCAAATAAAATGGAAAATCTGAGTAGCCAGATGGGGAATAATTTTTTTTATATTTAAATATTCAAGATTCAAAGGCATAAGAGACCCTATGCGAGATTAATATTTTGGTATGCCACTGATTTTATAGGCTTGTAGTATGTATATAATGCAGGTTTTTCCCATGTAAGATTTAAAAGCATTGGAGACCCCCTTTTTGGATTTTTTTTTCATTTATAGGCTTGTAGTTTCTAATGGAGTTTTTTACCCCATTCGATCCCGTTTAAATTGCTTAAATAAAACGCTTTATAAAACCCTATAATTAACATCATTTATTTGGATTGAATAAAAACTATTATAGAGGTATTTATTGAGGATTTTTCTTGCAATATTTCTTATATCATGTTTTGTTACACTCCCTTCGAAAAGAATCGTAATTTCTAGAATGCTGTTATTATTAGATATCTATTAGAATTATAGTTTATACTATATTATTGGGATAGATAGTTTTTAAAATATAATTTTGATTAAAAAAGCTATTCTTTCTTTTATGAATAGATATTTTTAAACAAATCGATTAACAGAAAGAACCATTTTAAAATACATCTGTTCATAGGACTACATATTTTAAGGGGCGTTCCGACCTTATAAAATTAATATGCCTTTAAAGTTTTTTTTATCTTTTATACTAAAAAATATACTTTTTAAAGAAAGGACCTACTTTCCACGGCTATTTTTCACTTACCCAAAGAAAGACTTTTTCAAAAACCCAAAACCATAACCAATTACCATTCGAGTGCAATATAGAACCCCATTACCCTTCGCCACAGACCTGGATCAATAGACCTTATCTCCTGTTTGTGGGTGTACGCACTGTGTGCTCAGGAGACCTCTCACTTGCAGGGAGAGCAGGGGTATCTCCCCTCCGAGCACCCACTCACCGTACCTGTGTGTGTGGGATGCGATAATCAATTCATAGCAGCGTTTGCCAAGCATTTAGGTTAACTATTTACCAACAATTAAGCAAACTATTAAGACCAACTGCTTCCTTTGTCGGCTCGCACAATTGGTAAACACCAAAAATAAAAAAATAAAAAAAAAGAGGAGAAATGAGTGAGAAAAAGAGTAAAGGAGATAGCGGTGGGTGGGAGGGAAAGAGAGAGGCGGAGATTTTCACATGCGATCATAAATCATTTCCCCGGGGCCCGGGCATGACTCAAGTTCGAAATACCAAGTTCCCCGGCCCAGATCCCGACCCAGGGCCCTGGCCCAGGTCCAGGCCCGCTGTGTTCGTGTTAATTAAATATTGACTATGTTTTGATAAGCCGTAACATTGGCCCCGGGTCCTCAACAAGTCCTCACTCCGATTTCAGGCTTCGATTTTCCACAAATTTAAATGTTAGCACTACACCACAGGACCTGGTGATCCGATCCGGTGATCTGGTCCGGTTGGGAAAGAACCCAAACCCTCGACGACTTGCCACGACGATGATAATGAAAGCGTTTCCAAATGCGAAACGAATGCTGGAACAGCTACTGTGGCGAGTGTGGTCCAGGATATATAGATATAGGACCCGTGGAACGCGGATATGTGGCCTGTGGTTATCTCAGCAGGTACACAAAAGTGTTCAGGCCATTAGATCTTGAATTTATAAGTATTTGTCTAATATTTGGTTTGAAGTTATAGCATTACTTTTAGTAGAATTTTTATATTTTAGTTATAGGATTCTTAATTTTTGATTTGCTACCTAGGCCATTGGTTTGCATTCGGTGGCATTTCTATTATTTTGACCTCCGCTGTGGAGCGGCATGTGGTCGCCTTCCGAGGCACGTGTGGTTTTCCAGCTAACCGCTGGCCAGGCTGCTGGGTGCTGCTTCCTGCTGCCCGCTTTTGGCATTAACCTAAACTGTTTCCACCTTCCCTGCGTCGGACGGCCAAAGGACGACGTCCACGCAGTTGGACTTCGGAGCGGGCCAAAGTCACAGAGTCCAGTCACAGAGTCAGCGCGAAATCCGGGCCAAAAAGTAGGCCCGCTGTGTGCGCCATCACCCGCTGGCTTTGTTGGCCGCACATTGGCTTAGGCCCGAAATCCATTCAAACTAAGCCAAGTCAATGCGATGCGTTGCTATCCGGTCCGATCCGATCCGAGGCGAGATATATCGGAAGAGGAGCGACCCACGGCCCACCCACTTGCAAAAAGAAGGTTTCATTTTAAATATTTCAGATACAATATGTACTAATATTATAGCTTTTTTTTAAGGCTCTTTTTTTTAGACATTTCCGCTCTGACCAGATGACAGAGTTAGTGGTTTTTTTTATTGCACATGCAGATTTCTTTTATAGGCTGATTCATCACAGCCACATTACCATTGCTACCAAAATTCACCTTGCTGAGTCACACACTTTAATTTCCATCTAACTTTTGTGCATAAATCTCTGGCCGTGTCGTCTGAATCTACGAGAGATATTTGGCAACAGGTTCCCATTTCCAGTCGATCTCCAAAAGGTGCGACGAGCAACCTCAGAGGCAGATTCCACCTCATACCTTTCGGAATTCAGATTCAGAGCTTTTGGGAGTCCGTTAAGCCACAATGTCTAGCTCATTAGATGTCATTTGATGATAAAAGTGGGCTATACCCTAACCTCAAGAGGGTAGAGTTATAAGAGGGAACTTGTATGAAGAGCATTAAATACTCGGTTAGCCATCTCCCACCATGGGTAATTTACATAAACGTTATATCCAGATCCAGATTGGCATCAGTGAGACGTATTGGAATGCTCCAGGTGGTTGTCATCACGTAGGATCGCATAATTCACCTTTTTACGGTTAACGGACGGCCGCTCCTGTGGCGGCTGCTGTATCTGCAATTAAAGTATCCCAACTACCATAAAGTGCGGAAAGAGCAACAATCTACACCCTCAGATGCACAAATAATACATATATGTATCCATATATATATGGCCAAACGGATTCCAAAGCGGCACGTACAAACTCACGGCTATTTGTCTGCTGACTTGTCTGCCTGCTTCTTAACTTATTTTTTCTTTTATTTATTTTTTTGTTCCGCATTTTTACTTTTTTTTTGTTGGTTTTTTGTTTAACTTGGCATTGTGATTGTGGCTGAAGCCGAAAAGATTTGTGACCGGTCCAGACTTCACATCCCGGTCCAAGTCCAGCTTCAGTTCCAACTCTGACTGCAGCTCCAGCTCCAACTCCGATCCATGTTCCCCGACTGCCTGTCGCTTTTAATCTAGCAAAGCAATCGTTGAATGCCACTAAACTTTTCACCACAACTTATATCAATTGTCGTCCAATGTACGACGTCAACGCGCCCCTGATATATTGGATCTAAAAGTGATCGTAATCGCAAAGCGGAGCACACACGCCCAAAAGGCCTCCAGTCCAGGTCCAGTCGTCGTCCATCCAGGCCCCGGCCAGGTCTGTGTCCCAAGGAGATCTGACTCGGTTTCGGCCAAGGCTTGGTTTCGTTTTTGGCCCAGTCCCAGGCACAGGGCTCAGAGGCACCAATTTG